TCGCCCTCATGGGGTCACTCCCTCAGTTTAACAGCCTGTTCCACTTCCTCTCCACATGCATCATCATCCATTTATTCTTTCTTTCTCTTTTTTCCCAACCCCCTTTCTTTCCTAATTTTATTCTTTCATCCATTCTCTTTCTCGCATTATTTACTTTCCTACCTCTCTATTTATTCATATTCACTACTTAGAGTCTCCCTCAATACAAATAATTAAAAATTATTTTTTTTACTAGATTATCAATATATCAGTTTTCTTTGTTAAATTAATACAGTAAAGGACTTGAAAATATGTTGGAAATACCTAGAAGATTGCACACAACATGTTTATATGTTTTTTTATGGTAATTATATATTTGAAGAACTAATAAGACATTGAAGGGGTTTTTAACAATTAAAAATCAAAATTAAGAAGTTACGAGATGGTGTACACTGTGTCTATGCATTCCTTTCCCTTAATTTTGAGGTTCGTCTGTGAAAAGATATTTCTGACTGTTATCAATCAAATGCCCTTGCATTGACACAGTTTTGCCATGAAAGGTTTCAATTTAGATATAGATTAGATTATTTACCATTTTTTTTGTATATGAATCAACGTGTTTATTTTATTAAATCTAGAGCGATATATCGATTCATGATCATAGCATCACGTTCCTTAATTCAACCATATCCATCAATTTATGGAATGAACAAAATGAGTATTCTAGAAAGTAATTCACAATATTATGTTTTAACAAAATGCGAAGAATAAATTTAGGGTTTATATTATTTAATCTGCAACGAATATTTTCAGAGATAATACATATTGACCGAAGTCCTTTGAATCAAGTTTTTCATCAAAAATTTGTTGGAAAAGGTTGTTTCATGCACACCATATTACGGTATCTAAAAGGATAGTTTAATTAGGAAAAAAAAATCCAAAATTGAAACTACAGACAAATTTCTCACGATCATTGATTCTTATTCTGTGAAAAAAAAAACCATTTTTATATTACTTAATATTGAAAAAATAAAGGTAATTATATTAAAAATACTTTAAATTTGTTCATATTTTTATATTTTTATTTATTAATTATATATTATTTAGTAGTTGCAAAATCATTAGTCAACGTGGCCACTAACACATGAAATGCTGCATAATAGTAATAAAATCCCACAATTTTATGTTACAACGAAAGCATACTAGGGTTTAGCAAATTATTGTAAATGTTAAAAAACATTAATTTTTTTTAAAAATTAACAAATTTGAGAAGATGTAGGTAAAATTTACTTCACATAATATTGTATTGAAATGTCTTTTTATTTTGTTTCTGGCAATTGATATTTCCAAAGCTTGGTAGTGATAACTCCCTTCCAATTTCTTTTCATCCCAATGACCATGGTAAATTTAGAAACATTGGTGCCATGTTTTGGGCTCCGAGAGGTGCATATTTCAGTTTAATGGGCCACGAGATCAAATTTCCTGGGCTTTCTTAAAAACAGCATCTTCAAAGTTCAAATCAGTAGAACATGCACATTCTTCCTGCAGTCTTCTACCTTCGCTCTGCATTCCATAAGACAACAGTATCTTTATTAGTTTACTAAATTAGTCATCTGAAAATATATTTTAGAATATTTCGAATAGAAAATTTAGAATTTTTTTAATAAATACATCTAGAAATATAAAATTTTAAAAAAATTTAAATTATGAAATTCAAAATATAATTTTATTATCTGAAAAAAAATTAAAAACTAAATTTATTACATGAATAATTTAAGTTTTAGATTCGTTTATCTAAAATGAAATTCCAAAAATATTGATCTTTCTATAACGTTTCTAAAATTTTTATGAAAAGATCAATTTCAATTATTTCTAGAAGACTTAAAAAAATGAATTTATAACTTATTTTATAAAGAAGATAATATTGTTTTTTAGACGAATATGAGTATTGCATATGAAGAATAAACATACGAAGTGAAAGAAAAAATGTAATGTGTTTAAATATTTACTTTTTAGTCGGCCTAATGATTTATTTTGAGATAAATTTATTTATTACTCTTGATCAGTAGAATTTTTCATTAATATTTAATTTTAAAAATATTGCGAATTTTGAAAATTTTCAATGATAAAAAAAAAAAAATTGTATACAACATTTTCATGAGCGAGCGATTACACACAGATTGGATGAGGAATCAATCATCGAGACCTCTACATTTTTTTTTCTGGCCCAATTCATTAGAACTGAATACTGTTTACTTAAAACGAAAAATTATTTTAAAAATTTTATTTGATTAAATAATATGCAAGTTGAATTATCCCACTTATCAATCTACAATATATATTTTGTTTGTAACTTATTCTATGATAACAAATTTACTAATCAAGGTTCAATAGGTGAGTTGATAAGTTATATAAATATACTTTTACAATTAAATATATAATCAAATAAAAATAACAACAAATCAACCAAACAATCAAATAAAGTTTTATGAACCATAAATCTTAAAAACTATAATTATTATAAATAATTAAAATATGTTTGATTGGTCATAATCATTTATAAAAGTTAATTTTAATTATAGACCTTATGATATTTTTTAAAGCATACATGAAAATATCTTATATATGGTTTCTATTTTAACCATTATCTTCTTGAAGTTATTAAAAAGTGGATGTATGATATGTATTGTACCATTTATTGATGAAAACTAAACTAGACATGTCTATGGAATTATATATATTTATGAGTTAGTTCATGGCAAGTAATACGAACAATCCTTGTTAGAACAGGAATTTTTATATAGGGAATTTTGGTTTAACATTAAATATAATTATGTAAAATCTCCAACATGAATAATTCATAAATTTTTATAAATTTTAACTTTCAACAACTCTTTTTATCATTTATCTCCTTTCACTCTGTGCTTTGTTCTTCTAACTTAACTTATGAGACATTCTCATTTAAACTCATATAAAATTATGAATTTGGTTTAAAATAGGTTTCAAATATGAGTAATAAATAAAGAAGACAAAACATGAATACAATTATAGAATAAACAGAAAAATGGTGTAGAAGAAAAATAATGATCATTTCACTTTACTAACCTATTTCACTTACTAAACACATAAGACAATTCATTAAAGGTTTAATCATCATTAAAGACTCAAATTCTTAATAAAAGCCTAAAAGATTAATAATTTATTTTTTCGAATATATATAAGAGCATATCACTAATAAAGCAAGATATTTATTTTAGAAATATTAGGCACCATAAACATGCATGTAAATATTTAAAATGTGAAAAAAAAAATATTTAACATGTTTCTTATTCTAGGAATAGAAAGAAGTACACACAACACTTTTATTTTTATATTTGTTATGATGCAACTAAGAAGAATCACACGTGTGTTTTGTTTTTCTTATTTAGTCATTTATAATAAATATATTGTTGGATGAGGTTTAAAATTTTATTAGGTGAGCATTTATATTTAAAGAAAAACATGTTTCTCTTATTTAAATCTTTCCGTTTGGTTCTTGTTGCCAATTGTCCAAACACAGCCTTAACCATTATATTCCATAATCCACTCAACAAAAGGCTTCCAAATTTAAAGCATTTGTGGTGTATTAAAGTTATCCACACCACCTTGGGACAAGTATATCTTCACCTTTGGGTAAGGTAGTGAATCAAATTCCTTAGCTACTTATTTATCTATTTTAAATATATATCAATTTTATCAAACACGTTATATATATTACTATGGTTTTAATAAATATTACATCATTAATAACTTTAAGTAAAAGGTAAATTTTATTCGATCTCATTATTAATATATTTTAGGAAGTATTTATTAAGTTTTTTTACATATAGAATTTTGTAAAATAGTTGAACAATTTGTAATTAATAATAAAAAAATTTAGATTGAACATTTAGTTAAGATAATAATGAAATAAAAACGTAATTATTATATTGTAAAAAGTAAATGATAAAAAAAATGTTTAAAAGTGCGTATAAAGTTAGATTGAGGGAGTATTAATAGTTGCAACCCATATTCTTTAGTGGTGAAACATATTTCCTAAATGATAGAATATATACGAACAAATTAAGATTTTCTAGTACTACGTTTCTCTCTCTCTCTCTCTCTCTCTCTCTCTCTCTCTCTCTCTCTCTCTATATATATATATATATATATATATATATATTATTTTATTTTTTTTTATTTTTTTTTTGGTTCCTTAAAATGTTCCATGTGTCCTTCGAATGTTTGTAATTTTACTACGATGCATATAAATAAAATTTTGTTGACGCGGTTTGTGGGATCAAAAAGAGCAGCACCCCTTACCAAACCCATGTAACTTCTTTTGCACTCTCAAAATTGGAATCTTGTTTCTTTCTTGTATACATTTTCCACGTCCACTTTTCTAGAAGAAATTCTTTTTATTAAGATCAAATAATAATCATGCAATGTGACTTTTAAAATGATTATTGCAAATGTCAACAAAAATTGTTCTTAGTTTGTGATGGGATGATAATGTAAAAACTATATAGTTTATATGGCTAACACTTAGTCTTTTTATCATTACCTTTGTTAAGTAATTGTATTAAAAAGTAACAAATTGGTTATTTATAATTAAATGATATTAGTGGCTTTTAGAATATTATTCCTATTATAGAGCGTATTACATAATTCTGAAGTATTTAAAAAGTCTTCAAATTAGATTTTCAACAAGAATAAAATATCTCAATTCAAAATTTGAATGGATAAATATTCAATATTTTGAGAAGTATTTATAAGATTTAATTATGTATAAAATGAATAAAGAGATAGTGACAGTGGAGTACTAGATTGACAGTTTATATTGTTTTCCTAAAGAAACAAAACCCTGGAAAACAGACAAAGTTTCGTATAGTGTTTGGCTCATAGGTTCTGACAAAGTAACTTGCTCAGTTCCTCCTCTTCCTGGTTCTCTGCTTCCTTATCCCTTACCCTCTTTTGTTTCTAATATCTAATCCACCAAAAACATGGATCTAGCTACCCTGTTACTAGCCTTGCTCTTCATTGCAGGCCTCATAAACATCTTCTTTCACATACCCACCAACAAGATTACCAAGTGCCTTCAAATTTTCCTCCCCAATAACAATGGTTGCAAAACCAAAACCACCCTCGTTCCTTCACCAGCGACCAAGGTGGAGCACGGTTCTTCCAGGAAGAAGGAAGAGCTTGGAAGGGTGTTTTCCACTTTCGACAAAAACGGTGACGGGTTCGTAACGAAGCAGGAGCTGAAGGAGTCCCTGAGGAACATCGGAATCTTCATGACAGACAATGAGGTGGATGATATTGTTGTGAAGTACGATTCCAATGGGGATGGTTTGATAGACTTTGAAGAGTTTTGCTTGTTGACAAGTGAGTGTATGGGAGAAAACAAGGAAGGACAAGAAGAAGAAGAAGAAGAAGAAGAAGAGGTTAATCTAAAACAGGCTTTTGATGTGTTTGACAAGGATAATGATGGGCTTATTTCGGTGGAGGAGCTAGCTTTGGTGCTTAATTCGTTGGGGTTAAGGGAAGGGAGAAAGATTGAAGAGTGCGAAGAGATGATTAAGAAGGTTGACATGGATGGAGATGGTATGGTCAATTTCAGCGAGTTCAAGAGAATGATGATGAAGGGAGGAAAACTTTCTGTGTTTAACTCATAATCCACTACTACCACAGCTTCTCTTTTCTTCAACTCAGATCAGCCCTCGTTAACTCCCAAAAACAAAACACTTTGAAATTGTGTGTGTATATGTATACTTTCATTTCACATCATGCTCACCACCACTCACATGAAATGAAATACTTCTCTGATACAGGAACTTCAGATTCTTAATTATAGTTTTCCATGCTTTTCTGTAACTTCTATGGATATGATCCACTATTTTTTTTTTTCTTCAATCTGTGTCTGTGTGGCGGATAATACTGGTACTGATGGCTGTAATTCAGGCTTTTGTAGCTTTGCTCTCTTTTCTCCATGAAATTGGGAAAAGTAAATTATGGATGTATGAACTTTTGTTGTTTCTGGTGGCTCACATCACATGCTAAACAGGACGAAACTTACGATGTTAATTATGAAGGTTAATTTCCACGAGGAAGAGTATTTTATACAAAACCAGGTGTTGTTGGAATGTGAAGTCCAATCAACAAAAATCTTACCTTTTTTTCTCTTCAAGACTCTCAACCATGCATGTGATTCTATTCTCCTAATTTCTAATTATCATCACCATATATAATAATTCTGAATTTAATTTGGTATAACTTGTAATGCTTTAACTTTCAAAATAAGCTAATTACTTTGCATGCAATTTATTTGAAAAAACATGATTTTGAAGAAAAGCAATTTATATTATACTGTTTTCTTTTTAAAATGTGTTTGTCATAAAATTAAATAGTATTTTTTTCCTTATTCTATAAACTACTTAAATTATTTCAAAACAAAATCAGTTTTAGATCCCAAATTATATTTTAAATATAAAACTAAAAATATGAATATTTATTTAAATCACATAAACTAATATTTTAATATAATTATAAAAAATATTTAACTATATTAATTTTCTAGCCTTGTTAAAATGTTTTCCCAATTTTCTTTATTTTTAACGCAAAATAAATGAAAACATGATAAAAATCAATTTGAAACACATTGACACTAACTACGATTTTTTTAAGTACTCCAAAAAAAACTTTTGAACAATCCTATAATGAGAATTATATTCACAACTTGGAAACTAATGAAAATTTTAAAGTTTATGAAAAAAAACACTAAAATTCTATAAACATTTAGAATATTTTCAATGACAATTGTTGCTTAAAATAATTTTTTATTAGAGAAATTTTAGATGACATGGGAAATTGTTTTAAAATTTTGGTCATTTACCGCTTCATCAAATAATTAAAAAAAAAACAAATGAGAAAAGATAATATAAGAGAAAATTAATTTTTTAATTTTATTAAAAAAAATCACTGAAGAAAAACCAATTGTGATGTGTGGTATAATAAATCTATATTTTAGATTAACAATATAAGTTACTTCTTTAAAACACATTAAAATTATTCATATAAATAATTTTTTATTTTAAAAAATTCATATGTAAAATCTATGACAAAATAATAAAATATATTTTTAAACAATTTCCTCTAAAAATATCATAAAAAATACAATATTCCTTTTATAAACTTTTAAAAATAAATAGATTGAAAGATGTGACATTTTTATAGTTAAAAAAAAACTAATAAATTCTGTTAAACATTAAGTTAAGTATTGTTAATATATTTTTTGGATTTTTTTTGTCAATTGAATTGTCAGAATCCTAAATCCTGTATAACAGTAGTACCGTTTTGTTTTGTTTTATTTTTTGTAGAGTTATATAAAATAATAATGATATTATGTTTCTTTAATATTAATTTATGTATTATTATTTTTCTATCATTTCAGTCAATCTTAATTCATCATCTTAAACAGTTAATAATGATTAATCTGATTTAAAAAAGTTGGTATAAACAAGCATTAAAAAAAAAAACCCTAAGTTTGAGTTAATTACAACTGAGTCCTGTGTGGGGTTGCTTGTTTGTTTTTCCAGCTCTTCAAAGTGCGTATAGAAAAAGCAAAAGCGTATAATGCAATATTAATAAACAATCATGCTTACTTTTTACCTGACCCACTTTAAATAATATTTTCTTCTATTATTTTGTTAAACAAATAAGACAACAAAATTTGCTAGTTTGATTGCCCTTTCATAGGCTTTGCTGGCTTAGTAAACAATATTCTCCACTAAGATAATCTTTGGTAAAAGTTAATCTGATACTTCTAATAATTTTTTATATAAATGTCAAATTTTGTATTTGAAATAAACTCATCCTTTCAATAAATAATGTATATAGTTTTAATGATAGTTAATTCATTTGTCTGTTACTAAACTCATCCATGCTTTTGACAGAGAAAAATAAAGAAGACATTTCTAATGAATTCTTCCTTTTATACGTAGTTCTATTCAACACAATATATGTTGATCATCCCACTTGTAAATTTGCTAAAATTGTAACATTTTATAATTTTCTATAAAATATGAAATTAATTGATCAAATAATTGAATATTTATATATTATCTTTTATATTTATTAAATTTCACACAAATTAACTATTTATTGGTGTGGTATATAAATAATGAACATGTATTTATATTTTAAATAGCATGTTCTCTATCAAAATAAAAAGTGAATGAATGATCAAATTTTTATTTGCATGCATTTTTATAAATTTGATCTATAGCATGAAAAAATAAATTCAATAGTTATATTAATTAATTTTATATTCCATGGAATTCTTAAGGATTACGTTACATGGGCTTCTTCAGATCTCATATATTTACATGTTTACTTTCATGGGCTTGTTCACATCAACAATGTCCTTAGGATTTTTAAAGGCCTCAATTGTAATTAATAGAAGTTCTCATTGTTTTCATGACACCATTATAATTTTTCTATTGAAATTATGTGAAACATATTATATGGCCTTATCTTGTTAGATTCACTCCCTGTTCATGCACATATTCTCAATTTAGTAATTTTTTTTTAGTTTGAATTAAGAACAAAATATGTTGAGACTAAAAAAAAAAAGGGTTTTTTCTTCATTTTCACTTGTAGTTTTTAAACATTTTATTTCTACTTATCTATTTCTCTAAGTTCAAAATATTATTAACTATTTTTCAACAATGTTCTATTAATCAAGACAGAGAAACATTAATATAAAAATAATAAACAAAGAAATAAATAACATGTTAAAATTTATAAATAAAATATATTTATATATATAACTATAATTATCGATCTCATAATTTCTTAATATAGATATTATAAATTTAAAGTTTGAATTACAAATAAAGAAACAAGGTAAAAAGTAGTTAACAAAGAATCCTCTTTTTTTTTCTTTTCCTTTTCCCCCTTAAGACTTATAAACAGTATTTTCAAGGTTATATTTACACATATTTTTATGAATAATCTATGCAAATAATTTACAGTTATTCAGAATCAGTAGTCCCTATAATTTGAATAAATAAGAATTAGTACTCCTTCACTGAAATAATTAATAATGTTGTATGGGTTTCAGTCAAATTTCAATACATTCCCACAGGTAATTATAAGCTAGAACAACCTTTTCATTGAATTATCTTCCTTCCTCACAGGAAGTTTGGCTAAAGTCATGCAATATTTAATACAATTAATCATTAATTAATAATCTATATAAATAGATAATCATTATAGTATCGTACTGCATTAAATAAATTTAACCTTACTTTGATATCACCCTAATAGGACATGGTTAATAAAATTTTCCTCTAAAAGAATCCACTCTCTCACTCAACTATCTACCCACAATCTTTATTAATTAGTCCAAACCCACCATAGTTCATGTGGGCAATTCATTTTGGGATGGCTACAAAAAATGTCAGATTAACTTTTCGCATAAGGTGATTTTGGTAACCTTGTGTGTCTGAGCAAAAACAATATCGTTCTTTACGGATGAGTTGCCAGAAGCTTGACAAAAACGACTATGGCAGCAGAAAACACCAGCAATAGACTAGAGAGTTAGACAATATTCTAGATCATATGGGGCTTACATGTGGCAAGTCATATCAAATCTCTAACACATCGAAAATATTGATCACATGGGTATCTAATCAAAATGCTAATACTATATAACTTAAGATACATTTGTATTAGGTGATGATATATATATATATATATATATATATATATATATATATATATATATAAACTCATTGCGGCATTTCTTCTTCATGATTATTTAAATTAAACTAAAGAAACAGCCACACTCTAGAAAACATCTGGATGAAAACGCCCAGGGATGGAACTGCTTTGTTCTGCCTGCTTTAGGTGCATTGTCAATGCATAATTGTTTATCTCCAAAGCTCTTACCTGTTCCTCGTACTGTGACACTAATTGCTTCAATTGCTGCAACTCTACATTTCTGTCTTCGTATTCTTTCTGGCGTTCGTGCTGAATACAGATAGCACGCTTCAGAATCACATTTTCTTGAACAAGAGCCTCCACTTGTTCCTTCAGCATCGTATTTTCCTGAAGTAAATCAAACAATAAGAACATCGAATAACACCCTATGACTTTTATCAGGAAGGAATTGAAAGTGCATTTGTGCTTGGTATTTAGGTTGACAATAATGCTTCGAAAGATCTAGTCATAATAAATAACCTGGTGGAAGTTTCGCTCTGTTTCAACACTTGCTCTCACGCAAATGGACTTCTCCAACGCCTCTAGCATTCTTGATGCTCGAGCCTTGGCATCATCCACGTTTGAAGCATTCATCATTTCTTTAACAAAAAGCTCCACCCATTCAGCACCATTTGTAGGATAATTTTGTCCAGCGACCGAATCCTCATTAGCTGAAACTTCTGCATCACATTTCGCTTCACCTACTACAACTAAAACAACCACTTCTTCCGATCAATATCGCGAAAAGTTCACTATGTATCATGAAACAATAAATAATATCAAGGTTCAGACTACCCAAACTTATGTAATATAACAAATCATATATTATAGGGTTGTGGCCTAGCTCACAAGGTAAGGGATTGTTTTCTGTTATATATATTGACATTTGGCTATCATGTCTCAATAACCCAATAACAAATAGCTCAATGTGGGTTCAACAACAAACATTAGAATTTGAGTTTTGACAATCCACAAAACCAACTCATGAAATGAGAGTTACTCCCACTTATATCCACTATTTATATTTCAGAACCAAAAACTGACAAGATATAACAAATAACACATTTTTTTTTTAGTTTGATTCTTGATTGAATGTGGAGTAACAGGGAAGAAGAGACCAAAAAAGCGCTAACAATTAATTGAGCAAAGAACCGATTCTAGCTGTCCACACGACATATACATTGCTAAATTATATGCCTATTTAAGTGGAGAATCAATTAACGCAAACTACATTTCTTATAAAATTGAAAGAGATTTAAAGGTAACAAACCTTGCGATTGAAGAGTAGCATCAGATGCAGTGGGAGTGGAATGAAGAGAAGGAGGTGGCGGTGCTCCTAAGCGGAGCTGGTTTAAGCTTCTGATGGCGGAGTCGATATCGTTGCCGCAATCTTCAAGGGCTTTCTCAAGGAGGTGGTTATCCATGTCAGGGAAGAAGGCGGCGAGGTGGTGGAGGAGGGAAGAGGGAGAGAGGCGAACCGGGGAGGAAGAAGAACAACGGATCCTCTTTGGAGGAAGCTCTTGGAACAGCGCTGATCTCTTCCCGGACACTATGATCGCAGACATCTTTCGATCCTCTGCTCACTCCGCGTCCGATCCGCCGCCACCGCCCCCCACGCAACAACAGCTCATGCAATCTGCCGCTCAATTACCTCCGATCTCCGATTGACAAAGCCACGAATACAATAGATAGGATAAGTAAAAGGAATAAAGGAGTATATTTTATATTTATGTTTCTACCAGATTTTCATTACACGCCTTATTTTTCCACTGTTCTTCGCTGCCCTGCCACCTCAATTAACCGTTGTATTCAATATATCTTATGTTTTTAACTGAATACATTATTTCAATATTTTATATATTTTCAGGTAATAATTTTTTTTATAAAAGTAATTTATATACTATTATTTCGTCGACTTAATTTAAAATTTGTGTACACATATTTTTGATAGATTTTTAACTCAGTTTTTTAAACGTTCAAATGTATCATTCTTGTTCTTATCTACACCTTTTATAGATTAGTGACTCATTTTGATCTGGGCTGGGCTTCCCGTGAGAGAAACAGACAATAGCTCTAACCTGGGCCGAAGAAAGAATAAGAAAGGGCTTTTCTATTCCCAATCGTACTTTTGCTATGTTCAACTCAACTTTTTTTAATGTTTTATAAAATCACCCTTGTAATGAATGTATTTCTATTGTCACATTGACTCTGCACTACACTGTGTAGTGTACACAGAACAATAAAAATACATTTACGTTATATGCTATTTTTCATTAAAATTAACACAAAATATATATACAAATTGCTTTAAGAAAATATAACATTGAATTAATCGTAATATAAATTAATTTTCATCGAAATTAATTCAATAGTAACACAAGCTAATAATGAATTCAACTATGATTAAAAATTTAACTTGTATACTAATCAAGTTATTTACAGTTATAAATGGAAACTTTTTATAGTAATTAATTCAGTTTTAATTAAAAATAATAGTGCACATGATACTTAACTTGAATATAATTAAAAATAGTTTTTTTTCTCGTTGATCTTTCATAATTTTTATTGTCATGTAATTGAATAATGATGTGGGACTTAATATATTGTCTTATACATAACTTAATTATATTTTTAGAAATTTTTATTATAGTTATAAAGAAATTAAACTATAATTAAATCAGTAACAGATAAAAACAAATCTATGAAATATAAATAGAAGATTGAGAAGGAATTAAAATATATAATTACAACACCTATATATATAATTTAACATGTATGTATTTTTCATTATTTTTTTAATTCTAAGGTTGATGTACTAATAAATAATAAAATAAAGTAAAAGCATCTTAAATGGAGGCGCTACTTATGGGCGACAAAGTACAAACATTACCAATTACAACTTTTTTTATTAGCTTGATAGTAATATTAACTTACAAGGAAAAAAAAAAAAAAAAAAACAGTTGTGGTCCATTAAAATGGCCCCACTATAGGAATCTTCACCTTTCTCTTCGCCAAATCTTACTCCACGTAAGTCTCATTTACCAAAGTTTTTATTTTACACATAATAAAAAGCTAGCTAGAAATGTGGCAAAATGGTCGCAATAGAATTGATATTCCAACTAACTAAAGTTGAGTTAGGAGGTTAAGAGTTGGTGCTGGTCCTGACTTGGGGAGAATTAATGGTTAGAAATGTTGATAAGCATGGAGCATGTGGACGCTGATGATATATTCTTTTAAGATAATGTTATCTATGTGTGTATGTATGTGTATGTGCCTCTACTAATTGCGTTCCTCCCTCGCACCATTGGTTGAGTGCATGTTGATGCTTCACTCCACGCAAGTCACGGAACCATGTTACCTCAACTGATTCACCCTCTTATTCCAATACTTTCAACCATATAAATTACTCTTTCATTGTGAATCCAAGGAGTTGCATGTGTAGAGAAGCTAGCTAACATTATGTGTATGAATGTGTGATACACATTATATTTGAAAAAAAAAAATGTAGTTTTGAGCACATTTTAGAACCTTGAGTGCCAAACAGTGGTCACCATTCCTTCCTTCACTCATCCTGTGTGTCTCTTGAATGTGTTAGTGAGGAGTGTATATGGTGGAGGCCCAATGTGAGACCCACAAACTTAGTGGGGGCAATTGGCATCACTCCTTTCCAACAAGGTTTGTCAAGTTGCAAGCACAGTGTAGGAAAAAAAAAAGGAATAGGATCTCAATTTGCTTTCCATTGCCCCAAGCATCATAGAATACAATTTTGTTTATAGTTGGTTCATGAAATGACCTCTCACCAAGCAACCTCTCCTTCTCTCTCCCCCACTCTTTCTTTCTCTCCCTTAAATATACCTCTTCAAGAGACCCATTCCATTGCTCATCCATGTAGGACTCTATCCCACCCCATTGCCTAGAGAGAGAAAGAGTAATTGGATTGCACTCAAATATGCTCTTGACCATCTTTCTACTAGTTTTGACCAAACCATAACGTTATCCATATCACTCTACATTTTGTAATCAGTGTTAATTATAAGATTTTGAGGATGACTTACATATCACAAACTCCTTTTGCTCATCTTTTGTGCCGTGTCAAGATGACATTAATTTCTGCATATGAAGAAGATCAAACTGAAAGCAATGTAGGGAAGCCACCTATGTTCATCCAATAACCAATAAGGAGTTGTATGTTGTATTGCAAGCCCCAATAATACGCTTATCCTTCTCTTTTATGAAAAATATTTCTGTTCAGCTTTCAATCTTTCAACTTTTGCCCCCAGCTCAATAATAATTAAAGAAAAATGTCAGCATTCTCCTACAGACTACACTAGTACAATGTAATTGTGAAATACACCCTGAACCCATTGTTTCAACTTTTATGCTTACCACTAATAAACAAGGATCCACAATGATGAAACTAGCAACATAAATCAAGAATGACCAATCACCCCAAAACATTGTTCCCAAATGCGTTCTTTTCATTTATTATTTTATTCATTCTTCAAAACGTCAGATCTAGAATCTAGATAATGGCTATTACAACAACGTTCCAGGTTTGGATAAAAATTGGGAAAGTGTTTTTTGGAATACCGACGCATAAATTCGAACATTTTTTTTTCTTCATTTTAGAAGTGAAAATATTTCAAATTCACCTGAAATCTAAACATGTACTAAGTTACTAACTGATGTAGTGGGGGATGTTGCCTTTATGATTCTTGTACATTTTTTTATATTATATCTTTTATTAGAGAGAGAAAATAAATAAATAAAAGAATGTGACATAATATTTCTTTTGGATCCAGTGAGATAATATTAATTAGTCATGAAAGGTCAGAACAAATAAATATTATAAAAATAACATTATTTTGTGAATTATTTTACTTTTGTGGTACTCGGATATTTTTATGATAATATCAAATACTTACAAAACCGTCGAAAGAGTCGGAAAAATAATTATCATGCAGAACACGGTTACAATATATCGTGTAAAAGTAAAAAGAACTACAAAAACCTGAATAAAATACATAATTTGTGCATCGATATTATCTTAACCACAAAATAAATTATTTATCGCATAAAATGTTCACTTTTTGAGACTTTAGCAAGGCTAAAATGGTGCTCGAGTTATGAAAAAAAATAAAACATACTTGTTAATAAAATAATAATAAATACTTCACGAATAAAAAAATTTAAACAAAATTTTAGTTTCTTATTTACATTTTAAAATTTACTTTGGTCCTTTAAAGTTACTGTTAGTTTTAGATGAGTCATTAGTTTCTCGGATTAATTTGATGAGATAAGATATGACACACCATCTCATGTTTAATAGTACTAGTTTAATTAGATTACCTTAAAGTAATAATATTTTAAATTTAGATTAACAAAACAAGTATAATATTTATTTTATTTTATTAATAATTAACTTAAATTAAATTATCATTTAATATAGATATAATATATTTTTTTAAATCTTTCAATTAAATTAAGTTTTAAATTTAAATTATGTATAACTGTTAATGTATATTGTTTTGCATGTAAATGTGGACATTTGTTTATAACTAATTAAAATATCATCTTACAATAATACTTTATCATTTAATTATATTTAGTATATATCACTAACATAACTTTAACATAATTTAATTAAATTACTTTGATCATAAATGTACTTTATTTCAAGATTACTTTAAATATTTATTTTTAATATATAATTATCATAAACTTGGATTGGTGTAAATCTCCGCAAAATAAAAATAATAGAGATACATTCTGGAAAAAAATAATTGTATATTGTACTATAAATATAAAATAACAAAAATAATTATATTCACTTGGTATTTGTATTTAAAATTTGTTTTCTTTTATTAAAAAAATATTTATAATTTAAAGTTTTAAATACATTTTAATTATATATTAAATTTAAATTTTTTTTTCTAATATTGTACTATTTGTGATATGAAGAAGTCAGAAACGATTAATACTTAGTTGCATGGAATAAGTATCGTAGAACTTTGTATGAAAAATGGTGGGATAACAATGTATAGAAAGTAAGGAAAAATTAATATCATTAGTGATCTTTTGGAGTGATAATCCTACGAACGTTTTTTTTTTTTTTTCATTCTCTTTTCTCATATGTATCAATTAGTGCTTTTGTTAACTCCTCTCGCTGAACGGTTATGGCGGAGGGAACACGTTTCGCAAGATTGAATGAACAAGTTCGTAATCTGGATACCAAACTCGAGACGCTTGTGGAGCAAAACGATCGACGATTATTACAAATTGATAAGTCTCTGCAACAGATTCGTGAGTTACTCAATTAACATAACAATCAGGTTAGCAATATGGAGTCCTCAGCCGTTTCAGAGTCACATTCATCCATTCCGGCGAGTCAAGTCATCACCAGACGCATGGACATTCCCCCTTTCGATGGCAGCGATGCAGAAGATTAGATCTTTAAACTTCAAGAACTATTTTCCCTATACAACACACCACCACAACAACACGTAAAATTGGCCTCCATGTCCATGAGCGGTCCTGCCTACATGTGGTATAAATGGATGATTCAGAATGATCTCATTAGTACATGGGACACATTTGTAGCAGCAGCCAAATTGCGTTTCCGTGCCAGTCTTTATGAAGATCATCAGGTAGCCATGGAAAAAGTACGTCAAATGACGACTGTGCAGACATATCAAATAACGTTCGAGTCTATCTCGCTCAAGGTTACAGGTTTATCTGAATCTTGGATTACTAGTTTCTTTATAGTTGGGTTGCATGAACATCTTAAATCCGAACTCCTGATAGCTCAACCCCAAACCTATCTTCACGTTGTGAGTCTTGTAAAGCTCCATGAACAGAAACATGCACAAATGCAGGCTATACACCCACATGTCGACACTTCAATGGCACCCACACCCAACTCAAGACCATTATCATGGTCCACCCAAACAACCAGAACTCACACTGTAACACCAGTATCTCAATCGAAACCATCACAAACTGTCCATAATATCACTCCCACACAACAGTCCGTGTCATCAAACGTCTCGATCGTACCACCAACCAAACAATCCTATAAGAAGATGTCGCATGCAGAGATGAGGGCGCGACACGAGAAAGGTCTGTGTTACTACTATGATGAAAAATATATAATGGGGCACCAATGTAAAACCTAATGTTATCTCCTTATTACACCAGAAGAAAGTGATCCCTCGGCTTTGGAGGAATTGCCTCAAGCTTCAAGTAGCCATGTAATTAGCGAGACTCCTGAAATATCGTTGCATGCTTTGACAGGTCAAAGGAATCCATCCATGCTGCGCGTTATGACTACATGTCAATCTCAGATACTATCGGTTCTCATAGATGGAGGTAGCACATTCAATTTTGTGAAACCCAGCATAACTCAACGAATGGGGTGGCCGCGGTTGAGAATCACACCTTTTCGAGTATTTGTGGGTAGTGGTCAACAACTGGTGTGCAATCACAAATGTGAAAACATCACTCTCAAGATTCAAGATCACGAGTTCACTATCGATCTTTTTATCTTGGAGATTGAAGGCATTGACGTAGTTTTGGGGGTACAATGAATGCGAACGTTAAGACCCGTAACTATTGACTATGAACAACTCACCATGACCTTCGTAACCAAGGAGCAACATATACAACTTGAAGGGACTCAACCCTCATTCGGGCCATTGAAACAACGTGACGTGAACCAATTGACAACATTAGATGACATCGGGTCTTGCTTCCACTTGTTACTCTTACAAACCACTTATGAAGATTACTTTGAACTGCCATCGGAAATCCAAAGTCTGCTGTGAGAATTTGAAGACGTCTTTGCCGTTCCATCAACATTACCTTCCGCTTGAGCCATTGACAACCAGGAGAAATACCAGTGAACATTCGTCTCTATCGCTACCCTCACTTTCAAAAAATAGAAATGGAAAAATTGGTGTCCGAAATGTTGCAAGCAGAGGTGATTTGTCCTAGTCAAAGTTCCTTCTCGTCTCCGGTGCTTCTTGTAAAAAAAAAAAGGATCGTTGCGCTTTTGTGTAGACTATCGCACACTGAACAAGATCACCATCAGGGACAAGTTTCTAATTCCTACAATAGATGAGCTGTTGGATGAGCTACATGGAGCAACAAGCTTCTCAAAGCTAGATCTACGAGCTGGGTACCATCAAATAAGAATGCGAGAACAAGACATTAAAAAAACAGCATTTAAAACCCACGATGGCCATTATGAATTCCTCGTAATGCCATTTGGGTTAACAAATGTCCCTGCAACCTTCCAATCCATCATGAATTCCATTTTCCGACCCTATCTTCAAAGGTTTGTAGTTGTATTCTTTTGATGATATACTGGTATATAGTAAAACTAGGGAACAACATGAAGAACACCTCCGCATAGTGTTACAAACTCTACGACAAGGCAACATACCTTCTTCGTGAAGAAAGGCAAGTGTCTCTTTGGCCAAAATCAAATTAAGTACCTGGGCCATATAGTCACGTCCCAAGGAGTATGTGCTGATCCAGCCAAGTTACAAGTTATGCATCAATGACCTACCTCTCAGTTCGCGCGACAGCTACGTGGATCCCTAGGCCTGACCAGGTATTATAGACGTTTCATTAAAGGGTATGCCAAGGTGGCTGCCCCACTTACAGTGTTACTTGGAAAAGATCGGTTCCAGTGGAGCAAGGAAGCACAAAAAGCTTTTCACTCCCTTAAAGATCACATGACCAGTGCTCCAATGTTGGCTTTACTAGACTTTATGCAAGAATTCATTCTCGAAATAAATGCATCAGATTTCAGAATTGGCGTCGTTTTGTTGTAACAAAGTTATCCGATCACATTCTTCAGTAAGGCATTGAATCCTCGTCTAGTAAAAGTGTTTGCGTACATAGGGAGTTATATGCAATCACTCAAGAAATAGCCAAGTGACGACATTATTTATTGGGCAACAAGTTTGTTATTGTATTGACCATAGGAGCTTGAAGGAGCTCATGAATCAGGTCATCCAAACTCCAGAACAACACCATTATTTGAGCAAGCTGTTGGGCTTTGAGTATTCCATCAAGTACAAACCGGGAGCAGAAAATACAGTAGCAGATGCCTTATCGCGAATCCTAACACAACCAGCTTACTTGAGCATGCTCGTCGATACAGTGCCAGCTTCTACAACGCATAAAATAAGCCACCCAAACCGACTCATAGGCACAACGGATTCTCCGGGACCTAGACAACTCTCAGCCAAGTGAATACGCAAAGAGCCAGGATTTCATTCTTTGGCGAAACAGACTCTACGTTCCAAACTCAGCCGAAGATGTGAAGAAGCAGCTTCTATGTGAGTTTCATACTACACCTATAGGAGGCCATGCAGGAGCCCAAAAGACGCTTATAAAGATTGTTAAAAGCTTTTATTGACCAACTATGCGAAAAGATGTGCAACAATACATCGCCTCTTGTGTCACTTGTCAACAAATCAAGGTGCCTACAAAACGGACCAATGGTTTATTGCAGCCACTGCCTTGCCCACAATGAATCTGGGAAGATCTAGCTATGGACTTTATCACCTCACTACCCAAGTCAGAAGGGTTTAATTGTTTTGGTAGTGGTGGATAAATATTCCAAAATGGCTCACTTTGGTCCATTATTACCCAATCACACCGTGAAGGATGTAGTGAGTCTATTCAGTAACATGGTGGTGAAGATACATGGGTTTCCTAACTCTATTGTCTCAGATCAGGATCCTCTTTTCATTAGCAAATTCTGGCGCAACCTAATGAAATTATGCGACACACAACTCAAGTTCAATACAGCTTACCACCCGCAAACGGATGGTCAATCTGAAGTCCTCAATCGGTGCTTGGAGTAGTATTTAAGGGCTTTCGTTTGTGATCAACCCTATTCATGGCATAGATTCCTCGTGTGGGTGGAATACTTGTACAACACCACATACCACACTGCCACAAAAATGAGCTCGTACCAAGTGGTCTTTGGCAAGACACCATTACCATGGCCAGGGTATCAGATGGGAAGCACGATGGTACAAGCTGTAGAGGATGAGTTGGAACAGCAGGAACATATACGACAATCACTAGTTGAACATCTCCACCGGGCTCAACAACGCATGAAAGTGTTTGCTGATCAACACCGCAAGGAGTGCACTTTTAATGTTGGAGATTGGGTCTGACTGTGTACCAAGTTCCACAAGCAACTCACAACAGGGGACCGAGACCATCCCAAGCTGGGTCGAAAATATCAAGGTCCCTTTCGAATCATAGAGCGATTAGGGGGAGTAGCATACAGATTGCAGCTACCAGCAACGTTAAAAGTACACCCAGTATTTCACGTGGCGTTACTTAAGCCTTATGTAGGTCCAACAGTGAATCAACAAGAAGTCACGACTATGGAGCAGGAAACAACTGAGGATTCCAAACCTGCAACCATCTTGGCTAAACGTACATGACTACAAAATGGGGAATAACATATTCAGGTTCTGGTGGAATGGAAGAATAAGCCAAGGGATGATGCTACGTGGGAAGAGATCCAGCTAGTGCGCATACGCTTTTCCCAATATCAACCTTGAGGACAAGATTGTAGTTGAAAGGGTAGTTATTTGATATGAATACGACACGTGCACATGTATTAACGTTCTTTTTAATAGGGTCAGATTGGTTAGTCAATTAGAAGAAGTCAGAAACAGTTAGTAGGTAGTTCCATGGAATAAGTACTATAGAACTTTGTATAAAAGATGGTGGGATAACAGTATATAAAGAATAATAAAAAATTAATATCATTGATCTCCTAGAGTGATAATCCTCAAACGTTTTTTTTTTCATTCTCTTTCCCATATCAATTTACATTTTGTTAATTATTGCAATTATTAAAATATCTTAAAATTTGGTGCTAGATTGATAAATAAATAATATTAATAGTGTAATAGTTAATATATATATATATATATATATATATATATATATAGAGAGAGAGAGAGAGAGAGAGAGAGATTATTTTTTAAAATAATGAAAAAAGTAAAGCAAATATATTGGTGCACTGGATTAAAATAATAAAATAAATGTGGTAAATTATGTAATTATTAAAATAAAAAAGTGTAATATATATATATATATATATATATATATATATATATATATATAAACTAACATAACGAATAAAAGAAATAAAGTCAAGCCCTACTAAGAGAATTAGAGAAACAAACCAAATATAATAAAGATAAAAAAAAAATTAAAAACATCTTAAACATAAATATAAAAAACTATGAAATAATTTTTTTTTAATCACTACTTCAAAAAATATCAACAAAAATGTTATAAAGTACTAAATACTTTTATTTACTAAACAGAATAAATAAGATCAAATAAGTTTTTTCCCTAATAAATCATTCTTTATATACTAGATGGTCAGTCCTTAATATAGAAAATATGGTTACTTTTTAGTCTTTAATTTTATAAAACGTTAGTTGCTTTACACGAGATAAACTTAAACAAACAAATAATATTAATAATAAAATAAAAATATAACTTTTAAAATTTATTTAAAACTCAAACAAAGATAATAAGAATAATATATATCAGTTTAGAAAAATAGAAAAAATCAAGTTAATATTAAAAAAATAATCATACAACTATTTAAAAAGTGTATTATGTGTTTTTTTTTAATATTAACTATTTAAATACAATCTATTGGTTACATTTGTATTTGTCTTATCTCATTCTACGGGAAATTATCGTTTTATACGTTATGCGTACGAGAAAGAATATTATTAGCAATGATTCTTATTATAAATAAATAATAAAAAATGATACATATAAATTGTGTAACTTTTGAGTGACAATATTTATATAAGTGATGTTGTAATTTTTGAAAATAACTAGTAATTTATTATTCAACAACTCATATGTATTTCACTTATTTTTATAAAAAAAACTCTCATAATTATATATACGTTAAAAGTGTTATCAAAATTAATAATTTTCTACAAAATATAAATTTATGATTTAATTTTAAATCATAACAATATAAAAAAAGCAATTATTTGTCATGTTCATCAAAATTGAATAATTTTAGAAGTACGTGACCTAGTTAACTAATCTAATTCAACTCCATCAATGAATAATAGATTAAGTTAAGTTGATTTAAAAGAAAAAAAATCGATTCAACCAATCAATTTTTATTTTATTAAATTGAATAAATAGATTGAGTTAAACATGAGCCAATGTATCCACATGCATTCCTATTAGTATCATTCATCCTGGTTTATGTACACTTCAGGTATGTGACTTTTTAACATAGTAAAGCCCGAAAAAATAAATATAAAATTATCCACACTTTTCAAATAAAATTACAACAGGAAACAAAAACTAGCAAATTAAAACATAATCATTGAAGCAGTTGAGCATATTCACTGTGACAAGTAACATCATAGTCTTCAGGGACACATTCAAATTTAATACGAATATTATGCTCTATACACTCATTTTATATTATAATTCAATTTCAAAGCATTGAGCATAATAGATTTAGTGAAGTTTAAAAAATTATCTTAAAAATTAATTGATTGGTAATATAAAAATATGTATAAAAAATAGAACTCATTAAATATATTTAGAGAAAATATAATAAAACTTGAATGATTAATTATCTGTATAAATAATAAAATGGTGAAGTAAATTAAGAAAATGGAAAAGTGAGAAATCAAAATAGATGGTAAAAGAAAAGTGGAAACATAATATTGAAGAAGCATAAAGTAAAATACAGGGTTTGTGTTATAATAAAGTATGCGTGGTAGCTATTTGAAAATGTGTGGTACTTGTGTTGTGGTTGTGGGTATAAAGGATTGATGAATGAATGAATGAATGGCGGTGAAAGGCATGAACGAGGCACTCCAAAAAATGCTAAAGCTTTGTTGGACATGAGGTTTTATGTTGCGTTTTGGTAATTTCAAGCACAAAGGTAAAAACAGAGAGAGAGAGAGAGAGAGTGAGAGTGTCCCATTCCCATCCCCACACAAAAGGTGGTGGGAAAAAAGTTCTTTTTGTACACACTGCGATGATGGCGATGATGATGCCTGCAATCTCCAACACAAACACAAACACCATCTCTTCCTCCTCTCTCTCTCTTATCACTCTCTTCTTTCTTTGAAGCCAACCATGGTTAGCCTCTTCTCACTCAGCCAGTGATTAATATGAAAGTTGTGAGCATGGAGACGGAGAAGAAGTGCGGTTGCTGGGCTGTCCTTAAACGCGGCGTTAGAGGTGCGTGCAAACCTTCAGCTTCCAGAGACTCTGCTAACACTATCCCTCGTACTAGTCTCGTTTATGATGCAGGTACATACATAACACAACACAACATAACTAACAACTGTTTCCACCATGGAGAATTCTCCTTCTTCATTGTGTATAGTGTCACTCCTCTCTCTCACACATCAATGAATGGTGCTTCAAATTTGGCCACACCCCATATGAGTTTCTTCTCTGTTTTGTATTCTTTCTTCTGTTTCTGAAGCTTAACGTCTCTTCTTCCTTCTAACTCCGAAATAAACGTTTCTGTGGTTTTGCAGTACTGTATTTAGAATTTGGGCCTGACTTATCCCCCACAAATTTGATTTGTAATCTATATAAAGCTCTTATTAAGCACAGTCTTGGGTCAATGTAGGACTTGGATTTTTCAAAACAACTGATTCTGGGTTTGCTTGAAATCATGGAGTTTTCTGGGATTGTTATTTTTTCTTTTCTATATACAAAAAAAAAAAAAAAAAAAAAAACTTTTCGTGGCAGGCATTTTTATGGAGTTTAATTATGATATGGGTAGTTAAAAAGATGGATCTTTTTTCAGCTTTCTCAGAACCCTTTTCTCCTCCATCTTCCTATTTCAGACACTGTAAGCATAGCTAACTGCATGATTCCTTTGAAGGAACGTGGGGTGGTACTGGGATGAAACTGAGCTAGTCCCCCTTGTAAAATTCAAAAGGAGTTATACTCTTCATTTCTGTAGAGAGTGGATGAATTTTCTGAAGTTTGAAGTTTCAAAGATTTTGTGGTTGAAAGTAGAAACCATGGATTTTTTTTAAGCGTTGTGATATGATGTTTTCAATTGCATTGTCAGATCCAAAACCAAGCTAAATGCAGTTATCTTATATTTTATTGATGAAGTAGTTAGAATTTCGAGAAGGAAGCCTTCACATTCTTTTGTATTGATGCAGCAACCGAGACAAGATACCTGAATGCTAGCAATCGAGAACTTTGTCCTCCCCTTGAAGCTCGTTTATCTTCTGATAATCCTGATCCCCCACCCCAGGAGAATAAGGCTCCTTGCCAGCTCCTTCAATTTACATTTCAAGAACTTAAAGCTGCGACTGGAAATTTCAGACCTGATAGCATTCTTGGGGAAGGTGGCTTTGGTTATGTTTTCAAAGGATGGATTGAGGAAGGTGGAACCTCGCCAGCTAAACCTGGGTCAGGGATTACAGTGGCTGTCAAAAGCTTGAAGCCAGACGGCCTTCAGGGCCATAGAGAATGGGTGGTTAGTAAAATATCTGCTTTGGGTTAGTAGATTGGTGTTGTAATGAGTTGTTTAGGATAGGTTGGAGATTGAGTTGTAACATGGCATTTTGTTGATGCAGGCTGAAGTTGACTTTCTTGGACAGCTTCACCATCCTAACCTTGTGAAACTTATCGGTTACTGCATTGAAGATGATCAGCGGCTTCTTGTTTATGAGTTTATGACCCGTGGAAGTCTAGAAAATCATCTATTCAGAAGTGAGTTTTCTGCCTTGCCTTGTCTTCCTACGTAGAAATTATATGGATTGTTATATATCTAGAGGTTATGTGGTAACATTTTCTAGGTTTCCTGCACAAATAATTTGCTATCACTTGAATAATAAACCAAAACCAATGAAGTAAGCTGGTTTGGTTAATCTGAGACTTTGCAAGATTGTTGAATTCTTTCTTCACCAGCATATATTTTGAAGTTCTTTTTCTCCTTGTAGGAATTATTTATTGGAACAATCAGTGTGGCTTGTATCACCACTGATTACTTTCTTTTTTATATAAAAATTAAAATTAGCTAGCAAAATGTTATGTCATTTATCATAAAGTGTTACTTGAATAGTAGCTAATGACTATATATAGTAAAAGGAAAAATTTATACACTCTGGTTATTGGAAATGCTCCGTAGAATTACCTCATACAAATATCAAGTACTCAAGGATATGAAAAAGAAATCTCATGAGTTCACACCCTTTCCATAATCTTTTCTATGTCATCTAATAACTTTTACTTTTCACTGTTTATTTGACTTTTTCCCTCATCGCTATTCCATATTCTTAATGATGATGATAGATCTTGAACACCTACAATTAGTAATTCTGGTCTGGTCCCTTTCCTCTTGGTCATTTTATCTAACAATTAAAGTGCTGATTTTGCCTCAATTTGAAGGAACCGTACCTCTCCCGTGGTCCAAAAGGGTTAAGATTTCCCTTGGTGCAGCAAAAGGATTGGCCTTCCTCCATAATGGTCCAGAACCAGTCATTTATAGAGATTTTAAAACATCTAACATTTTGCTTGATACGGTATGTGGTTACTGAAATGAACCAATCAGGTTCGGAGATTTTTATTTTATTTTTTTAATTACTTACTAACATGTAGTATTTTATAGGAGTATAATGCGAAACTTTCAGATTTTGGTCTAGCAAAAGCAGGACCACAAGGAGATAAAACGCATGTTTCTACCAGAGTAGTTGGAACTTATGGTTATGCTGCTCCAGAATATGTCATGACAGGTGAGAATGAAACTCTTCAGCTTCCAATACACCACAAAGCTTTTGTATATCTTGTGGTAAAAGTTGTATTATTTATTATAATTTCTGCTACAACGCTGACATCAAGGCAGCACATGCCATCATTACATAATTGTTATGAAGAAGACTGTGATTATCCTTTTGTTATCATGTGAAGATAATTGACCTGATGTGTTTATTTAGTTTGTTGCTCTGTTTACATATGCCTTTTTTAACATCAACACTTCCAACATTGGAAACTTATATACTTGTCCTAGACTTCAGAGTGATCTTTTGGATAAGTAGTTTACTAACTAGCAAGATACTTAACTCTGATGATGATACCCTTCAACTTATTTATAGTGTCATGTACAAGATAGAGCTTGCAAAGATCATCAAAATGTTCAAATTATGCTGAGACTTGTTAGCGTTCTGATGTTTCATCCCACATTCATCTATTCAGGCACCACAATATGGTGTAGAAGTCTAAGATCTATGAGAACTAAGAAACTGCATGATTTCCTGTTTCTTTTTTATACCAGGACACTTGACTGCTAAAAGTGATGTTTATAGCTTTGGAGTTGTGTTACTTGAGATACTAACAGGAAGAAGATCAATGGACAAGAAGCGCCCAAGTGGGGAACAAAATCTTGTTTCTTGGGCGAGGCCATACTTAGCTGACAAGCGAAAGCTGTACCAGCTTGTGGATCCTCGCCTCGAGCTAAATTATTCTCTAAAAGGAGTGCAGAAGATTTCCCAGTTAGCTTATAGTTGTCTTAGTAGAGACCCCAAATCTCGCCCCAATATGGATGAAGTTGTGAAAGCTCTGACTCCATTGCAGGATCTTAATGACCTTGCAATTTTGTCTTACCACTCTCGCTTGTCTCAACAAGGGAGACGAAAGAAGAAAGATGGAACTCCACATATCACATACACACAATCCAAGAGCATGAGGGCCTCTCCCTTGAATACCGGCAAGCAGCATCGATGATAGGAAGGAAGTGATCCTCTTCTTTATTGCTGGCTCAATCATTGATTGAAACCAAGGTTGGAATGCCTCCTTTGTTGTTGTTCTTGTGTGGAGATGGACATTTCAAGCTTATATATTTTTTGGGTGTTTAAAATATGTGAGGGCCAGAAGAATGAGGAAAGAGTGATGAATGGTGATACATTGATTTTATTTGAGCTCTTTGATTAGAGAGCTAACCATCAATATGGAAAGAAACTCGTCATTTTCTTCTGCTGTAACTGATAATTCCCCTATATGTATATGAAATGCCTCACTTCTCAGAAAGTCTTTTGCAGCAGCCTGAATCAATTGCATTTGTCAGGGATTCTACTTTAATGCCTAGATTTTTATGCTTTCTTAAAATCTGAACCATATCATACTTCTACTGTACACGAAAATTTGCTTACTACTATATCTTCAGCAGCATTAATCGTAACACGTATTCATAGTAGACTTTTAGGACATTAATATTGCAGGTATATAAGGGAATATGATATTATTTTAAGACAATATATTAATCTTTGTTAGGGATACATATGTTGATAGGAACTCTTAGTAGTGTTACCACTCATATTAGTAGGACATGCTTTGTCAAGCCGACCATCAAATTACATTGACTTTGATAACATTAACGGGTATTATGCATGGAGTTAGCATAGAAATTTTTTAATTGTATTATCCAACTTTATCATTTCTATCTCGACTTCATCATACTCTTGAATTTTATAAGGCCACTGTTGAAAATCTTCTTGGACAAATACTCGGGGCAGTCCAGTATATATCGGATTCTATATTCTAATTGGGTAATGTTAAAAAAACTATCCACCGAATCAGTATATATACTTGATACCAACGTAGAGAGCATTTATATCTTGATGCATAGCATAATTGTCTGTGGACTGTATTCTTTCTGTAAATATCTGTCTTGCTTGATAATTTGAATTGGAGGAAGGAATCTGAATTTGCTTTAATTTATTCGTTTTTGTAAGAAAGGTAGTCACAAAGTTTCCTTTTAATATCAAAGCAGCAATTATACATAGAATCTGCTTGCCCTCAGTAATTTGAAACTTATGCCATTCCTAGCATCAATCATGCTGTAATCTTTCGTAAGTTCGCACCGTTCCTTTTCAAGATGCCTGGCATGAGAGAATAGGCATCTGATTTTTTTTCATGGGAACATGATTAGGCTTTTCTCTTTTCATTGATTTGACATTATAGATAATAAAGGTGTCCCGACCAAATTGAGAATACTTTGATAGACCATGTTGCCCCCATCTCTATAGTTTTGTCACATGCAACTCATCCATTGCTCAAATTAGAAAATTCAAGAAAAAATTTCGAGGCTTAATAGTCAGGAATTCACCTTGGTAATGATGATATGGGATTTAAATTTATGACCGTGCTTCTAATGCTACCTAGTAACCACACATTACCAAATTTCTCATAGAACAATTACATTTAAAGAACAATTTCTCACTAAACTTTTATTCTTGGCCGAAGAAGTTTTTGAAACACAATGCTCTTTCAACTTCAAGTTGTTTGGTGCATTCCTTTTAAAAATATTTTCTTGGTTTTCACGTCTACCCTTCTGAATCAATATTTATACTCAACAAACATAGTGTCCACCACAAAGTGGATCATGGAGGTGTTTGTTTTTTGGTAAAAGATATTGAGACATGTGTGTACTGTTCATCCCTGTACTTGGTACCAAGATTCTTACGGTTACAACTAACAATATTTACCTCAGCAAGATTGGAAATCTGGAACAGGACGCATGCTTGGTGAAAAACAGGTAAACATCCTCGTTAACTGGGGACAAATGAATAGTACAATGGCAACCCAATCACTGTTCTAGGCCCTGCCAAAAGTCTGTGATATATCTTTATTATAGTTGTTAAAGCTATATTTGCAAATCCAATTCATATCCTGCAAGAAACCCAGTGAATACCATATCGTGACAAGAAGCTATAAAAGTAAAAGGCAGAAAACCAGCAATAATGCCTTCTCAGTGGTTAATTAGGTGGCGACGAAAACCTTTTTCTCTCCCTTATTATACCAGCATGTGCATATCCAAGATAGGTGGCAAGTAGATTCACTGGACAATAATTTAACATGTGGGTACTCAAATCATAAGTAGGCATGGTTTAAGACCAAAACACATTACATAATTAATATCCCAGCATGCATAATATTATGATTCAAATATTGGCCAAAATATCTACTAATGTTTGACCCTATCTTGTCACTGTTAGGATAAAGCAAACGCCTTTGTACGGTTCATTTGTAACACTATGCATATGATCCTTCAGGTTAACAAAAAATTAGGCGCCAAATACAGTTAGCTAGGGGGGTTTGGACCTCAAAGCAGTGTGAGAAACCTAACACTAACACTGCAATCAAAACACACGAAGGAAAAAAGGTAGCATAATGATACCAGATTCCCCTCCTAGCTTTTCTGAAACAATGAGCGTCTGGTTATACGGTTCAATGAGCAAAACTCCAGATCTATTATTGCTGTTCTTTCTTTTTTCCCTACTTTGAGAAAAAAGTGTCAGAATAGTGCATCATTTCTTTGTTCTTGTAAGATAGTTTATAACTTCTAGTTTGTGCCACAAATGCAATACGGTGCCAGTTTTTGAAAAATAAAATCTATACATCTTGATGTTTAGTTCCCAGAAAGTTCATTGGAATCTCATCATTTTGAACTTAAATTAGACCCGTGTTGCCATATATGCATGATTATGACTTTCTGCAAGAACTTCCAAAGTAAGTAGTAACTCAATCTGGTTTATGCCCTTGACCATGAGAGAAACTATGCTTACCATAACATTTAATCAAAACATTTTTTGGGATATTTCATAGGGTTTGAACTGAATTGGGATTTAACAGCAGGAACTGTTAGTGTTAATCATTATATTATGTATCAGCAAATATTTCTCCATGGTTTCGTTGGAACAATATAGAGCAGAACGGATGAAAGTTCTCCTTTTCGTCAGTTCACAGATTATATTATTTTACATAGTTACAAAACCTGGAAGTTTAAGTACTTTGAGTACCTTGATGTAACCATGGCAGAATTGATTAACTCATTTTTTTATCTTACAATATTGAAAAAGTTTTAAAAATTTTAACAGTTTTTTCTTTAATCGTGCAATTAAAAAAAAAAAAAAAGATCCTTTAATTATCTCATAATGCTAAAAAATGGTCAACATCAAACATTGTTTATAACTTTTTTGCGCTTCAATTACTCTAACCATGAAACTGCATGTATAATTTGTTCCTTAAATTTCCAATTCCCAATGTAAGATATAAACTCAATGATGTAGCATCGATTGAAAATGATACAAGTATCATTTGCATCACAAATCTTCCAATCCATCTAAAACATTATTGTGTTACAGCTTTAAAGGTTAAAAATATCATATCGAGAATTTCATTTCCTATAATAACTTGTCATCTACCTTCAAACAAATTATTAATATCGATGCTATCAAAAAGCCTGGAATTTATAAAGAAATATGTAAATATGAACATTAGAAAAAAGTTATGTTCAGCACGAACATTAGAAAAAAGTTATATCATAAGAAATTACTACTCTACATAATAATAATAATATTAGGACTCTCACTTTACTTTCTCGTAATAAAACTGTTATTAGGTATAAATGAATATATAAAATCAAACATAAAAAATATGAAACCATAAATAAATATAAAACTAGGATACACTCAGTTTGAAGGGTTCAATTTCTTTTATACTTTCTTCTATTTTACTAAATTCACAGCTATGAGGACCTCGTAATTTCAAATATTGAGTTTCCGAATTAGGAATAATCAATATTTATTTTCAACTTGAGGAGATATTAAAAATAATTTTTTTTTCTATTTTAACCGTTTTAACATTTTTTTCTCTTATCATATATAATTTCTTGTAATTTATTAACATATTCGAATATGTAATGAAAATATTTCATCTTTAATTATTATTGATCCTCTTATTCTTCTCTTTTTTTTTTCTTTATTGCTTAATTTCACATTGGATTGTAGTTTTTAAGTTTTGTTGTGTTTGTCTAAAGTTTGATTTCATTGTTGATGATTGATACATTATCAAAATATTACGTCACTCAACGGTTTTTTTGATTGATATATTGCTCGATGTAAAAAAATAATTTATCACTATTTTTTTTAATTACATGACTCAAGTTTAAATGATCGAGTAGGGTATTTGAGTTGTAATAAATTACTTTACATGGTAAATTTAATTTTACTATAAAAAATGCTATAATATTTTTTTAAAAATATTTCAATTTACTAGGAAACAATATAATTTGGCATTGCTACATTTTTTGGTTTAAACAAATTTCATGTGGTAGATTTTTATTTTGATCAAGTTTAATAATTTTTTCAAAATTGGATATTTAATAAATTATAAAATACTGGTTTAACTTCTTAAAAAATGTATTTATATATTTCTTCTGGTTATTATGTTAAATATTTTAATCAATTCTTGAAGTATTTTTAATTTTTTTTAATATGTTAATGAGTGATGGACTTGACAATTGATTTTGGGGTTAAATAATATATTATTAATAAATAATAAATCAAAGGTAAAAGAAGATGAAAGAGTAAAAGGATAAAATTATAAATATATAAGTTAATATATTAAATGATCATTAAATTTAAGGTTAAAATAATAAATTATATAAAAATTATAAAACTAAAAGAAAATCATTGAAAAGATAAAATTACAAATATATAAATAAATATATTAAATGATTATTAAATTTAGAAACAAAATTATAAATCATATGTAAGTTAAAAGAGAATTACAATCTCCTCTTGTTCCAAAAAAGTTATTGTATTAACTTATATTTATCTTAACACTTAAGTAAATAAGTACAGTATTTGTTAATATTGATATGGAGACACGTGTTCCCATTTAACAAATTTAACAAATTAAGGGGAGTAGAACTTAAACCAAAATATGTTTAATTTATTAAGTAATTAGTTTAGAAAATAAAACCTTTTATTATTCAATATAAAAGTTAGTTATAGGCGATGAACAGGAAACTTTTTTAAGTCAATATTTTGCAAGAAATTATTCCAGTTTAAACATAAAGTAAAAAATTCTAAAAACATAACATTTTTAATTCTAAAAATAGGTTGTATAAAAATAACAATGACATAAAAATATTGTTTCATGAACAAAACTATATTGACGGGAATAGAACTTACCCACTAAAATCAACTCAAATTGTGTATTTAGTATATTGAGACCAAAACCATGTGTAAAATTGAAAAGTACATGTATCCTAAGATTAAATATATTTGAAAGAGTTAGCTTTAAGTTGCAACTTCGGATATTTTGTGAAGGAAATTGCACATTGTTTGTGGTTTTATATTATTTTGTTTTGACAAATTTGAGTTTTTTTTTAATAAGAACGATGTTTATATTTACATATTTAAAGTTTAGGGACTTTTTTATCAATTAAAACATTATTTCGCGGAGAATATTTTCGATTTCTAAATTATGTTCTCCAATTTATAGTTTATACAAATTATTAGTGAGACTAGTTTGCTACTTATATAAAATTACATTTGTTTTTTTTTTAAATAAACAATGAAACTAAGTATTATTGTTTTCTTCTTTTCATTTTATTTATCGTTTAAGATTATGATGCATAGTAAAAAAATTAACCTTCTCACCTTTATTAAAAAATAATAACTAATATCATCTTAACATTTTGGAATAATAGATAAATAGAAGAAATATATCACTTACAGGCCTCATATTATTAATTTTTGGGTACATATTTCCCAAATGAGTTTTTATAAAACCATATTAAAAAGTTTCGATTGTCAATAAACAAATTAATGCAATACTTTAAGAGAAATTATAAATAAATAGCATTAATATTTTTTAAAATTATAAATAATTTAAGAGAAATTAAATATACTCAAAGGAGAAGTGAGAGGATTTATTTTTTTCCCAATTAATGTTAGCCTATGATAAACAATTTTAAGGATGAGATAAACTGTCCTTAAAAGCCTGTGTTAAAAGATGTTTCTTTCAGGTATTCATTGGATTCTATGACAAATATGTGAAAGTATAATAGCTATAATATAACATCCATCTAAGAAACTAATATATATCCTAATAAATATCTTTCTATACATAAAATTTTTGGAATCGAACCATTAATCACATGGTATAAGATGAATTATGCATAATATGAAGTAGAAATTATACATCTATAAACTGAGTTAAAGAGACAAATTAAAATTCATGTGTGTGGTGTGTCCAACTGTCATTCATGTCCATGAATGATTAGTCTCCCCTAAAGCCAACATCTCCAGCCACACTTGAAGGACTCAAACAAATTCGCCACTATACCACTTATAACATCAATCATTTATCATTAGCCCCTAATTAGTACCCTCCAGGACTTTGATTTCCACTTCACACACACCCTCAATGTGCAACTAGCTACTTAATTAATCTTTGGTCCCCCAAAAAACCAACACTTCTTTTCTTTTTCAAATTCATTTATCTAAACCACCTCTATCAAAACAAATTAATACTGTTCTTAGTTCAACTTAGACAGTAGCTCAAACCAATCAACAGCATTAATGCTGTGCTAACAAACTGTTTATCACACATGCATTACAAGCCCAGGTCTTTGTTCAAATATTAAATTAAATTAGCAAAATGGTTAAAAAAACATTAACTTTGACAACAATTGAAGACCGTTCCCCCTAATCCGTATTCATCAGCATTTTGATCCACAAAATACTATAAAAGGGTTTACTTAGGAAACTGATCAGACGACAATGTCTCGTACGTCCATATTCTTGTATTTCAGTTTCTCGATGTCTAACTACATTTTCTTCAAACTGACACAAGATAGCCTCGATCTTTGTTCGCTTTATCATTGTTTAATATTTAAAAATACGATGGTTATCTGAAGGTCTATCTCCTTGACTACCAAAAAAAGGGGGAAAATGAAATTGAAATCGTATATAGATAATTCATGATGAAGTTCACATGAAATATGAGAATGAAAAAAAATGCATGTAGTAGTTAATTATAGTCCAATACACTATAACTTTTTTATCTTTGATCAATCAAACATGTATAATATGTTGTTGTGAAGAGATCATATAGAGTAGTTAGCTACTAAACCTTCTTAAAACAAAAATGAGGCAGAAATTGGACATGATCGATATGCATGGGTATAGACTACATAGATGACTTCAACATTTAGCTGTTGTCTCATACTTTATGTCGGATCACCTTGATATTAATGTAGATGAGACACAGATGCAATAAAGATTGGTCTCTCTGGTTTACTACTCAAAATCAAACCAGAAAAACCAGCACCAAGTCAAAGATAGATCATATATATAAATGTACTTACTTACCTGGCAATTTGTTGCACTTGAGCTAGAATTTCTCTGGATTTACTGGTAGGCACCAATCAGTTTCAATTGAAGATTGGTCCAACCAAGAAGGAAATGTTTGTTATGACAAAATTAATCGACGTTGGAAGTGATATTCTCACAAGAGAATCTGATGAGTTGGGATGAGCTGGAAAGCAACAATTAGGGGGACTCATCAATGACAAAGTGATATTGGCGCGGCTCAATCTGAGATCGTATTTTACTGCTTCATGTAAATCCGCCTTCGGATTGAACCTCACCAACATCGCTTTCTCTGCTTCCCATATCCCAAACACAATCATCATCAGATGAAAAACATGCACAAAATTATCACAAGTTGATCCCAGCAGCAATATTATTATTCCGCCATGGACATATGATATGACTTGTTCAAGATCCATGTTAGAACTTCGTTAGTGGGGGATAATGAAAATTTCAAGTGATTGGATAGCTCTCTAGCTAATAAATAGCCTATCTACCAACAAGGAAGAAAAAAGGCGTTTCAACACTAAACAATATCCTTAAGGTCCCATTATGCACGTAATCACAATTATTGAATGTCCTTGTTGTAAGTAAAGCACGAATATGAAATGCGACCATGATGGTGGAGCTGGAGGAAGAAGGGAGTGATATATAAGGTTGGTTAATGTTTAGGAACATCACTATGCTTACCACAAAATTTAAATTCTTGATGGGAGTCACTATCAATGCATTCAGCTGCAACTATATATGCGCTAGCAGCATGCCTAAATGAAAATTAATAAAGTGGAAAGCACAAAACCCATAAATAGATTTATATTCCTAACAAAGAGAAGTGGGTTCTCCACATTCTAAATCACGGGTATATCTAAAACTGAGAAATAGACAAAACACAAAGGCATGTTTTTATTTTTTTACTTTTTTACATATAGCTAGAACATTATCATTTCTCACGTAGATGACGATCAGGTAGAGGGTTTCTTTCTTTTCTAAGGATGAGTGCTACTCTTAACTAGGTTTAGAGGGACATATAACAATATTCATGCATGGCTTCAAAAGTAAAAAAGGAATGGTTTAACATATATGAGTAGCAAAATGAAATGTAAGAGGAATTCACATGCTCGAATTCTATGAAGAGAATAAGAGAGTGAGAGAAGGGTATAGAAGATCTGAGAGAGGTTGAAGTGAGGATAGATGTGGTGGAGAGGCAGAGAATGTATATACTGGTAGGTTTTGCCTCGGGATGGGAAGGTGAAGAAGGTGAGTGGAATGATGTCAAGGGGGAGCAACACTTACTTTAGGGTTTGTCATGCTTAGTTTGCACTCAATAAAATCAAGCTCTTCTGTCTTTGCGCATGCACCTGAAATATTCTTCACACACACACACACACACACAAAATGAAACACATCCCAAACAACTCTTTTAATTGTGCCCTTTCTTTCTAGCATTAATTATTGTTTTTAACTAGGACCCTTTTTAGATCATGCTTGCATTTGATTATGCTTTTCGCTAGAGAGAATAAGATAGTTGGCTTATATGTACCCTGGCTGGAGGAACAAATCATGGTTTCCTAAAAAAATCCACCCAAGACCACTACCATATTTAAATGGATAATTATAAATCAAATTGAATTAATTCCTTTAATCTCTGATCAATGCCGAGTATAATCTCACATATCTTTTCCCTTTTCTTGTTAAAATATATAAAATCTGATTAACTAATTAAACCATCCCATGTGCTTTTTGCAATCTTCTTATTGAATCACAAATGGTTGCATCCATCTTGCATGGTACATCCCTTGGAAACTTTAATGACCAGCCTGTTCTCTGCCATACAATATCTACAACATGGTACTTTTGGTAATGTACATGGATTAATATATTGTATAAGGAGTACATGTTATTAGGAATCTGAGCTAGTAAATAAAGTTATTATAATATGTGGTCAAATTGTGTGTTTGTGGGAAGAGAGAGATGTATACATATAATATATAGATTGGGAACAGAGTGCAGAATGTCAGCGAAAGGATTTGTCTAGAAAGAAGCTTGGGGAGGTATTGAGTTTGCAATATTTGAAACAAAGACACAGAAGAAATAGAAATAGGCAACAAGGAAAAAAGCGCGCGGGGACACCGGCGCCAAAGGGGGCCTGCCTTGAACCTGCACTAGGAGACACTCTCCTTGGGTTTTGCTTACAACTTTCTCTTTTCCTCTCCATTCTTTCCCACTTCCTCTTATTCTTGCTTTTCCCTTTTTCTTTAATTTCTATTTGTCCTCCTTTCTTTCCATATATTCTTCCCTCCATTTTAACATTTTGGGAAGTGTAAAAGACCCTTTTAACGATTCTGCATTTTTCTGTACGAGGTAAAAGATGAATTAACAAAAATATTATCACAAAGAAAGTAAAAAAAAAAAATAGTAAATAGTTTATGCATTGATGATATAAAATCTACTATAAAGGGTTTAATAAAACACTAACTTTTCATATAGTTTTGTTTTTCTTTCTCGTTAATAACCTTTATTAGAACTATAATTTCCCTCTTGTTCTTGTTCTTCTCATGTGCTGTGTGTAGACCTCAAAATGTTAAATGATGATCATTGTTCTTGAAAGAATACCCTGTATATTTCTCATGATTTGTGGCGATAAGTTCGCGTGCCACTGGCCAAACATATTCCCCCACGCCTTAAACCATTCCCATATTTCTCATTTCTTTCCTCACCAGATCCTAGGACTTTCCATTCCAACTCCTCTTTCTAGGGTTTATTAAAAGGCTGAGGGATGGTCAAAAGGTACCTACAGCTCGCTCATGAACTCTTGGGTCTTTCATTTCTTTTAAGTACACATAATATTCTAGACTCGTGCATATATGGTTGAAGTGCCAAAAGTGCTGCTGGGGAAACATAAATTCCTCAATGGTCAGAACTAGTCAGAAAGAATATGCTGCTCTTTCAAGTCTCTCTTCTTTTTTTTCATTTGATCAAAAAGTGTCCCCATAGTGGACATTATGGACATTTTCTTATTGTAACTGAGATTTCTAAAAGCCTTCATGGCAAGGGACCTGATGGCCCTCCCTTAATGACGAAAGCTAACATGCTTTCTCAAGTTCTACTGTTCAAGGGAATATTTCAGTCATTATATATGCTTTTGTGTATTAAAAAAAAAAAAACTTTTTCTCGTTATGATGCTGTTCTCTTCAAACTTTGACTCACCTTTCTTTTTCTTAAGTTTTTCATTTTTGTTCGGAGGGAAACCTTGGTGGTTTAATATATAAATCCCTTATGCCATTATCCATCTTATATTATTCTTTCTAATATATTTTTAAAGGAGTCATGTTACCTACTAGCTCCATTTTTTAATACAAGAAAAAACACACACGCTTTTTATTTTTTAATATGAATAAAATGTAACAAATTTTACTTTATTTAATAATCCTTTTTTAAATATTTTGACTTTATTAGTTAATATATTTGGTTTCACTATATAGTATATATTTTTCTTTTATGACAAATAGTTAGAAAGTATATAATATATTAGTATAATTTAACATAATCAACTGACTTTCTAATAGGTGTGATTTTTTTCTTATTAGTAAAAGCAGAGGTAATATTATTTTTAATAAATTACTTAAATAACTCAAAATAAAAAATACATTGTAAATCGCAATAAAAATGTATTTATTAATGACATACCCATGTTAACTTTTATATTTAGATAACATTTGTCTTTTTTCAAAAACTATTATTACATAATAAATAATAATTTTATTTATATTTTTTTTAACTCAGATTTACCTTATTTATTTATAATAGTTTATCCTTGATTTTGATGCAACGGATTAGTAAGCATGTTTTTTTATTAATATTATCTGAATTTTTTAACTGAATAAATAAAATGCATTATTTTTTACTTTATTGAGTTAAGAATACTATGCACTTCAAAAATAACTCTGTGTTGAGACTCTGGTGAGTATCAATCAAGCACAGTAATTTCCTCAACTAGAAAAAAATGTATTCATAATTTATAAGTTGTAGGTATTGATTTCTTTTACTATATCCACTTCCACTTATTCTCTCCTTTTTTGTTTACGCTTTAGGTCATGCTTTTAATAAATAGAAAATAAAACTACTACATGTTTTTATTATATATAAAAAAAATACATTATCAATAAATAAAAACAAATAATTATATTTTTAAGATAATTATTCTAAAACGTTAGTACACATTCAATGTACATAACAATTTGTAATTAGAAAATATAAACAAAATTTGTATGTTTGAAAACTTAAATTTTGAATTGAAGGGGAAATTTGAATGAAAAACAACCCTAAGCCCCTGTTTGTTTGAACTGATTTGCGACGAAATACTGTTCACGAAGACAGAAACACGAGATTCACCCACGTTTGGTTGAACTGATTTGCGACGAAATGCAGGCGAGGAAAAGGGGGAGATGAGAGAGAGAGTTTCTTCGCTGAGGTGCGAAGAAAAGAGATGAAAGTAATGAAAAGACGTTGTTACCCTGCAATATATGATAGCGGTTAAATCTGAACCGCTATTATAACAGCACTTGTAATAGCGGTTAAAACTTAACCGCTATTATATATCACTTCTAATAGCGGTTAAAACATAACCGCTATTATATATCACTTCTAATAGCGGTTAAATCTTAAACGCTATTATATATCACTTAAGATAGCGCTTACAGAGGAACCGCTATTATATCCTCCAATATTTCGCTCGAGCGAGACATAGTCGCTCAAGCGAAACACAACCCGAGACTGAAGAAATTAAAATATGGTTGTATATGATAGCGGTTCCATTGGAACCGCTATCTAATATACACTTTAGATAGCGGTTACAGGGGAACCGCTATTATATCCTCCAATTATGATCGATCATTACCTAAATCTAATCGATCAGAATCATATTTCGCTCGAGCGAGAAATAGTCGCTCAAGCGAAACACAACCCCGAGACTGAAGAAATTAAAAATTTGGTTGTATATGATAGCGGTTCCACTGGAACCGCTATCTAATATACACTTTAGATAGCAGTTATAGAGGAACCGCTATTATATCCTCCAGTTATGATCGATCATTTCAAAAATCTAATCGATCAGTATCGTTTTTCGCTCGAGCGAGATATAGTCGCTCGAGCGAAATGCAACCCGAGACTCAACTCTCACGCTTTGAGAGTTGCTGTAGCCTATACCTAAGCTCCGCTTTTTTCAGTTCAATCCAATCAGCAGTGGGATTAGAGAGCAAGCTGGCGTGGGGGCAAAGGCAATAACATCCGACTCTACTTTCTTTAATCCGACTCTGGCACTGATTCAATCAGGAATTGAGAAGCAGCAGGGAGTTGATGGAACACTTTAAGAACCATTCTTAAAGGGAGCTTATAATAGAGGTTAAACCTTAACGTGTTCCAAGCAATTCTGTTGATGGAACACTTTAAGAACCATTCTTTAAGAACACTGATATGATAAAAGTTCCAAGCAATTCTGTTTATAAAAGAGTTTTCAGAAAAAACTGCATTAATTAATCTGTTCAAAGTTTGTTTTAATCTGTTGAAATAGCCGTTATAATCTGTTAAAAGTCCTTTCAACCCATTAATGCGTTCTTGTTCTTTAACAGAATTGTTTTAGCTGATACGACCAAGTTTTTATCAGTTAAAACTTTTTACAAACATTTTCTAAGAGTGATTTAATCGATTGATTCGCGGTTTAATCGATTGATTCAGTTTAAAACTTTCTTATAACACTTTTCAAGTTATTTTAACTGATACAAAGAAGTTTTAATCGATTAAAAACCTGCACAGAATTTTTTCCAAGTCATTTTAATCGATTGAAATTCGTTTTAATCGATTGAAACTCTGTACAAAAATTTTCAAGTCATTTTAATCGATTGAAATTTGTTTTAATCGATTGAAATAAGTCTGATCGGTCATAATTCAATTCTGATCGATCATAACGAACTCTGATCGGTCATAATTACATTCTGATCGATCATCCTGACTTTCATAGTGGTTTTAATCGATTAAAACGTGTTTTAATCGATTAAAATAAATCGAGCGAGATCATACTTTGCTAGTCGCTCGAGCGAGATCAGTTTCGCTCAAGCGAAAAACAACCGGAGGATGAAAATTATGTGCAGGTGTCTTCGCTCGAGCGAGTTTAATGTCGCTCAAGCGAAATATAACTTGTAATAGCGGTTAAACCATAACCGCTATGTAATATATACTTTAAATAGCGGTTACAGAGGAACCGCTATGATATCCTCCAATTATGATCGATCATTTCAAATTATGATCGATCAGGATGTTATTTCGCTCGAGCGAGAGTGTAATCGCTCGAGCGAAATACAACCCCGAGACTGAATCTTAAAATATTTTTTTTGAATATTATGTTTTTTAATTTGTTATTAGAGAAAACCTTTCAGAATTCAAAATGTTAAATTATATATAATTTTCTATTAAAATTATATATTCTCAAATATAATTTATTTTCATTTCTATAATATATATATAAATTTTAGTAATATTGTGGAATCTATATTTTATATTATAGTAATTAATATAAATTATATTTTAGAATATGATATATATATATATATATATATATATATATATATATATAATTATACATTAAAATAAATTCAAATTCGGAGCCTTTAGATAGTGATTATTCGGAACCGCTATCATATGTTAACATATGATAGGGGTTCCAGGTGAACCGCTATCTAAAGTGTCGAGGTTTTGGAAAAGTGATCGATCATTTTGGCAAAATAATCGATCATTTGAAAACTTGTACCTAAATGACGAGCAACTTATGCTTCAGTGTTATAATCATTTGTGTACTCACCCATCACATGTTAGACGACTTTTTGGCTTGCCCTCACATCTTCGTCTCTCCCAGTTGTTCATGTTCTTGAATGGAGGTGATTGAATGATCTGAACTGGAGGACTTGACTGCAAAAGATGGATAAGATTATAATTATTTGTTTGAAGAGCATTAGTGTGCATAGATTTATAATTTTAGTAATCTTTCCTTTAATTATTATTCTATTTTCATTGTATTTTATATTTGTTTTAAATAATAATGTACAATTATATTATTAGTTTTCATAATTATTTGTTATTATCGAGTCAATATTAATTATTATTTTATATTTTATAATTATTTAATTATTAGTCAAATATTTTATTTAATATGTCAACATTTTTTGAATATGGATATGCAATGTACATAATTTTGTAATTGTTTATTTATATAATTTTTAATATCTATCTAAAAAAAGTTAATTTTTTAAATTTGTTCCAATTACAAACACTTTTAATTTTGTTTTTTCTTTTAAATATATAATCAATGTTAAAATATGGATAATTAATTAAAATTTTATATTTATAATCATTTGAATTGAACCTTATTTTATACAAAGGGTAAAATGGTAATTTTCTTAAATAATCAACATAAAATTATAATTTTTATATCTCATATCAATCAAATCATTCACAATTTCCCATAAACTTTCCTTTCACTTTACATTTATCTCCATTTCTCTTCAAATCCCTCCTTTTCCACTCCCTCATTTCCACTCTCTCAAATCACTCCATCCAAACAAAGTCTAAGGAACTTTTTGATGTAAGTGCAAAAAAGTCACGAATGAAACCTAGGTAAGTAGGTATAGTGGTATGGAAAGAGGAAGATCTTGGGGTGAAATATATATCTTGTTATTGAATGAGGGAAGAGATTGCATCGAGAAAAGGTAAAATGAAATAAAGAAATTAGGGGGCGTTTGGAATGTGATGGGTAAATGTTTCAATTATGCATGGCAATGAAGTCAAGGTTAGTTGTCAGTATGCGAAGACAGTAAGACACACCAACTTCAGTTGTTTACCCTTCCTTGTCCCCTTTTGGTTATCATGCACGATTTCTATTTCGTCACCCTTTAACTCCCTCCGATGTAGATTATTTATGGTTTGTTCCACAGAGGAAAGAAAGGAGTGGAATGAAGTTGGTTTGATTTAGAGAACATTAATACTAATAGAGTGATGGTAGATGTATAATCACTTTGAAATGAAATATCCATTAAATAACTCTATATATTAATATAATAATTATAAATTAATGTTATATTATTATATGAAATTGTCTAGTTTTTTTAAGAAGGTTGTTGATGATTTTTTTTTCAAATTAAAATAGTTGCAACGAAGATCAAAAGACCATTTTTTTTCTTTTTTTTAATTTGTTGGTCCAAGGGATGAGAGGCATGACGAGTGTACCAAAGCGGAAGGGTTGAACACCTTCCTAAAGAAATCCTTCTAAAACTTTTTTTCTATTCCTAAATTGAAAAACATATTAAATACTTTTCAAAACAGAAGTAACTTTCACATTCGAAATTATAATTGTTTTTTGTCTAGCTTTAGATTTTTCTTAAAAATACAATAATTAAATAAATAACAAAACTTTGTCATAACATATAATTTCACTATACACGAAAAGTTGCCAGAAAAAAACAATTACTTTATGATAGATTGATAGTTAATAAAATAATTAAAATTCTCACTTTGTTTTTCAGAAAATGCTATATGAAATATAATAAAAAGCTTAATTAGACCTTCTGAGGCATTAAAAAAAATAAATCTAAATGTACAACCTATAATTAATTATTAACTATTGAAGGTCGTTCAATGTGAAACACCTTATAAAAAATTCTTTACCTAATGAAATTTGAAATTTGTACGGTGGTTTAAAATATACTGTGCAATGTGTTTTTGGAAGTTTAAAAATTAAAATCTCTTGCACTATTGCAAAATCATGCCTTATATATTAAATGTAAACGTGGTGTTGATGAATTTTTTATATTATTTGTTAATATAATTGATGTTATATATGAAGTTGTATTAATAATTAAGGTGAAAAGTCTTTTATATATTATATTTTTTTATTTGTCTTAAAATTTATTTTCTTTATTGTGTTCTTGTAGTATTATTTTAATTTTTTTAAGATTCTCTTTTTCTAGAATTCATCATCATCTTTTAAGTTTTTTTTAATCAAAAGTTTCTCTATTCCAAAAATATTTAACCACAACAATGAAATAAAGTTATTGTGTACTTGTTTAGTTGTTAATCGCCATCCTAACGAAAAAAAAATGAAGATACAAATTTTTTTTACTATCTATAATATTATCAGTCATCTTAATTTTTTTTTCGCTGTTATTACTTTTGTTAGTATATTATTTTTATTTCTTTTTCTAATTATATAATAAATTTAATTAAAAAATAAAAAAATTGTCGTTTATATTATATATTAATATTATTATGTTGTATATAAAATTAATTGTTAAAAAAACTGATATATTATATCAGTTTTTACATTAATTAAATATAAAACCAATATAAAAAATACATGTTATATTTATTTTTTTATAATCGAAGTTATATATTTCTTTTTGAGGTTGTCAATTAATATAAAAAATAAAATTCTAATTTTTATCGTTGTTGGATAGTTACGAAGCGTCTAAGGAGAAGTCGATTAAGTGGGTATTGACGTGCATGGTGGGAGGGGTGACCGTGGGGTGTCATTGTTGGGTGCAGCAAGAAATCTGTTCGCGTCTGCATGAATGACTACTTTGACATGGTGCATTATAGCCATTGCAATGTCTTTCGCAAAAGCGTGCCCTTGGTGACCAGTTTCAATGTTGGGGTTGTTTGGTCATGTTCGTTGCCCTTATTACCCCTCTTCGTATGAAAGATGATAAATGTTTTTGTGTTCCTTTCATTATTTATTCTGTGAGTAGACAATGAATTTGATTTTTACATTTTAAAAACAACTTTTCAAAATCGGTTTTAAACCTTCAGTAAAATATCATTTTATAGTTAAGGTATAAAAACGAGGTACGGGTTCGTCATTTGGATTGAATTAAAAATAGTCTAATCAATTCCGCTCGTTTTTTTTTAACTACAATCTGATTTTAACTATCATGGATTGATATATTAAATGACATGACTCAGTCAATAATGTGACTTATTTTTTATTTTTTAAAATAATTAAAATAGGTAAATTACTTCCATAAAATATTATAAATTTACACTTATAACATGAGAAGGATACATTAGATTATAAAAGAGTAAAAAGTATGAACTCACCACTAATTATTATGGAATGTTTTTATATAAATAATTTAAAATAATTAAATACTAATTATAAAATAATTATTCTGAAAATTTTATCTGAAGACCTTTTTTCTGAAATACTTCCAAAATACGTAATCCAAATTCTTTTAATATTTTAGATAATAATTTTGAAAAAATATAATATTATTTTCGTCATTCTACTCTAATGTAAAGGTGTAGGAAGCAATTACATAGCGAACGTCAATTTTCTGAGTTTTTAAGGCCCGTGTGGCTTAGTGACCATAGGCACAGTGGCAACAAAGTTCTGTTTATTTTCACAAAACACTTAGCTTCCGAATCCTCTTCATTTGCTGAAGCTAGAGCGATCAAATCAAAGCAAAACTCCTGATTGCTTTTAATAAAGACTATTTTATGACGGATATCAATGGATATTTTCTGGTGAAAAAGTATTGAATCAGGTTTGTTTTTATGATTTTATCTTTTTTTTATACTTTAAATTTAAAATAATATATATTAAAAAATGTTTTTTTTCTATGTACACAATTTTATTCTTAATACAATAACTTCGTAATAACTGTTTTTATATTAGGATAAGTGACATACTAATTATCTGTAATAATGATTTTTTAAGTAATTATTAAAGTGGTTGATTTTTTAAATAGTAATAAAAAATATTAACAGGCAAATACGACCGGTAATTGACAAGATAACTAAGATTTCGTCAAGTGATAGTTATTGAAGAAGATCTATTACAAAAGATTTTAGAAGTTTTGCTCCACCTTTGAAGAGTGAAGATAATTTCATACATTTGAAATTCTCTGAATTGAAAAGAAAAGGAACTAAATTGGTCATTAAGTTCCCTTTTTCAGGTTATCCTCTTTCAATATTCCAATTAATCTGACAACACCAATTAGATTGAAAACCCCTCACCTCTCTCATACATAACAAAGTGTTTGGCCATTTGATATATATATATATATATATATATATATATATATATATATATATATATATATATATATATATATATATATATATATATTGTATTGATTAAATAAGACATTAATGAAGTCTGCTTCTAGAGTAATGACTAAGCATTAACAAGGGTTGAATTTAATGAAAAGATAAAAATAACATTATACTTGGAAAAAGATTATATCGATAATTCAGATTATGTTAACACAAAGTTTAATTATTAATTTACCTAAATTAAACTAAGACAAATATTCATATAAAATTAATAAATATTTTAGTTTTTTATTATTTTATTAAAACAACATATTTTATTATATAAATTAAAATATTTATAAATAATTATATTTTATACTTTTTTCATCGAAAGATAAATGTTAGTCACAAGATTCAATAAATTCTTATGCACAAAATTAAATTAATTAAAAAGTATGTGTGACAGAAGTTTATTAATAAGGTCCACAAATAGGTGGTGAAGAAGAGCAAAGGAAAATAAAAGAAAGTTCAAGAATTAAGAACACTGGGCCGGTGGGCCCAAAGGAAAAACAGTATTAAATGGAAAATAAATCGGTTCATCCCAGCCGTTGATCTCGGATACTTGAAACACTTTCACGAAACGAAATGCCGTACCCGCGTCGAAGACTAACGAAACGAGTAACAAGCGTCTCGTTCTCTCCATTCTGTTCATTTTCCCACACCACGGATTTTCCTTTGCCACGAAGATATCTCTCTCTTTCGTTCTCCTACTTTTCAGTTCTCTGAGAAATCGTCCATGTTAGAATCCGAGCTTCACGATTTATCAGACGACGCCGATTACGCCGCGTCGCAGCAACAAGTAAGACTGTTGCCCTTCTCACTTTACGATTTCCTGTGACCTTTTGCATCCTTCGATCAGTTTGCGTTTCAATTAGGGTTTCCGCGGTTCAATTGAATACTCCACTCTTCAACCGCCTTTTATCCTTGAATTTAACTGACTTTGCGGTTGTTTTTGTCGAATTGATTGGGATTAGGGATCTGCTAGCGTGATGCTGCGGAGTGACAGTACCAAACAGAGCTCCCCTCGGGACGGTGCTGAAGTTGTATTTACGAAGGACAATGTCACGATTCATCCGACTCAGTTTGCGTCTGAAAGAATCAGTGGAAGACTGAAATTGATTAAGCAAAGCTCGTCTTTGTTTATGGTGATCATTGGTTTTATTTTGTCACCTTTTTGGTTCGTTTCTATTTGTTGTGTTATTAATAATGCAATATATTCTTTTTCGCTTTTAGACTTGGATACCTTACAAAGGGCATAGCTCAGAGGCCAGGCTATCTGATAATGGTAGTTTACATTCTGTATGACTTTTTTGCATTGTGCAATGTAATCTATATGTTGACTTCTGTTTTTCTCTATTTCATGCTCAGACAGAAACCTTTATACCATACGGGCGGTGCCCTTCACTGAAATCAGGTCCATCCGGAGGCATACTCCTGCTCTTGGGTGGCAATATATCATTGTTGTTCTATCATCAGGTGAATTATTATTTATGAATATAGTGGGTTTTATATTTATATTAATTATTAAAAAAAAAACCATTGTTTTGTTCTCTATTGCTCTATCAGGCCACATAAACCAGGTAGTTTATTTTTTGGTCGTATAATTAGTTACAGGGTGTTAATTTCATTTATTTTTGGGCCGAGATGTAATACCTTGGACTAATTATTAGTAATTCTTTTGTAGGGTAGATAACCTGAAATTTCTACCAGTGCTATGCCCTTTGCTAGTAAAATAACTAATGTGCTAGGGTACAATTTATTTCGATTTTACTCTGCAGACACAGGATAAATGGATAGACTGTCATAGAACTCAAACATGGTTATTATATAAGTAGGGTTCAAAACTGGAAAATTTTATAGAAGGCAAAAGGTTTCCTGGATTTTTTTTTTAAAATGTGCTTGAGTGTATTCCTCACTCAGCAGATTGATCTGTTTATAATCAGAATGGTTACAAAGATAATATATAACTACCACTTTTAAGAGAACAATTAAAATATCACAGCTTCCCAAGATGAATTGAACTCAGTTAAGCACTATACTTGGAAGCGTAATAAACTGTAAATGCATCTATTTGCATCATAGATTAATGCATCTCCATGTGATTTACTGTGCTGCATGGATGTAGGGGCTGAATAACTACGAAAAAAGTACTGCAAAAGTCTTGTAATATGATAGTTGAAAATAAGATTTAGTGTATTTAAAAATGGTATATAAAATTTTAAAAATATCATGTCTTCCTTTTTAATCATAGTGGCCATTGGGCTATGGGATTCAAATAGAGTAGCAGTAGGAGTGGTTTTCTGTAATAACGCCCATAGAAGTCAAAACAGTGATGCTACCATGATATAGGGTTTTAAATTACATTTTTCCCTTGGAACATGGTTTGTCTTTTGTTGGTGGTACAATATTCGGATGTTACCTTTGTTTTGACCTCAATTCTTTCAGACATTATAGGATTATTTTTTATCCTTCTTTCTTTAGACTTCCACCCATTCTCTTTCTGGTAACTCTTTTGTGTACTTTGTTGTGTTCTTTAATTAATTTCACTTTTTTGGCTTCATTGTTATGTTTGTATTACTCATAATTGATGGTGATTATTTAGACTTATTATTTATCATGAATTTCTTTTTTTTTTATTCTTTTAGCATTTATATATGTTATTTTGTATTATAGCGGTCATCCGGCTTCCTGTTATCCTGTTGTTGCATTTTCGGAGTTAGCTGATGCATGCTGCATTCCAAGATTGAATATGTTTTAAACAATGTTAGAAGATATGAGTACGCATTTCTGTTTTGATGAATGCATTTCTTTTGGGTACGCAAGGGAAAAGCCCCAAATTCTGTGCATTTTGAAATGTCTTTTTAAGCAGTTGGTGTATTTTGTTGCATTTCAAAACCATTATGAGGTGTTTTTGCCAATTTTGTTGCATTCATGCTTGTAACGTAAATAACTATTAACTATCTCTTATATTAACCAATAACTTTGTGAACTTATTCCAAGTGTTTGAATACCAAGCTGTGGTTTCTACCCTTGACCTTGATCTGTATGCTCCATTTGTATTGATTAAATAGTTTGTTTTATCCTTTTATTTATCTGCTGTGTAGTAGTTGAACTTAATTGCTGCCTGAAAGAATAGTATGGCTCATTTGTCTTTGAAAGTATAGTATGGCTCATTTGTGACGTGATCTCTGTTAAATATATCTAGTTGTAGTATTTTGAAGTGTCCTGAATAATGATGATTTGGTAAGTAAGATCTTTGTACTCGTTTGCTGACACTAGTTATATCTGTGGCAGCTCTAGATATTTGTCTGTCTATACCTTATTATATTTTGTGTTCTACAATTCAATCTTTTGTGAATAAAATTTTGCAGGACTTGCTTATCCTCCACTTTATTTTTATAGTGGAGGAGTCAAAGAATTCCTTGCTACAATTAAGCAAAATGTTCTTCTTGTGAGGTTAGCCTCAGATTTTATGCCTCTACTGATACTTTTTAATTTTCATTTTCATTTGGTATTATTAATATTGCAATAACCAATTTTATGTGGCTAATTGTTGCCCCTGCATTTGTTTCTGTGGATTTATAAACTTTTTTTTTTTCACTGTATGACATCAATGAACCTGCAATTTGGCATTGTTTGATGTCATCAAAACCTTTACAATTCCAGATTCATGATCAAGTTTATTGCATCGAGAAAAATAGTATTATATTTGCAACACATTTCTATCATTTCTTAGTAATTTTTTTCATGCAAATTTGTTCTTATAATCTTACATGTATGCCAAATGTAGATCTGAAGAAGATGCCAATGTATTCCTTGTGAATGATTTTCAGAATACGCTGCAGGTATTGGTGGTGTGATATTCAATTGATTTTGTTGGTTTTATATCTGGATCATAGATTCACACTATCCTTTGTGGATGAAAATATTTCCAAATAAGTAAAATTTACAATAGTGATAGAAGATCATATGCAATTTCTTCCTCTTTTGTTCTCATTGTCCAAATGTTAATAACTTGTTCTTCTACCTGGAAAAATGAGATGAATGAAAATTCTTACATCTAGAATTCCCTTGTGTCTGTGAAGTCTTTTTTTTTTTTTTAATAATTAAATATCACGCCATTTTAATTGGGCTGCTATATTTTTCTAAATACTTGCATTGACATCCAGAGGACTTTGTCTTCCTTGGAGCTGCCCAGGGCTGTTCCCCTTGCATGTGGACCTTCAAATATGTCAGTTGATGAATCCATTTTGAATGAGAACCAAGAAAGGGCTGATAATGATGTCAATAATGTTAGTCAGTTCCTTGGGAGACCTAGACACAAAGTAGATCCTGCTCGAGACCTCTCTATTCAAGTTTTAGAGAAGTTTTCACTTGTCACAAGATTTGCCCGCGAAACAACTTCACAACTCTTTAGAGAAAACCAGAGTAATGGATTCACTGAGAGGAGGACCCATGTCCAAACTAACCTTGATCATCCTAGGAAGTCTTCTCATGTTGAGGAGAAGACTTCTGATGAAAGTGGTCTTGCCTTGGATTCTAAGGAGGTATCCTATATTTCTTTGGCCGTGCTGTTGTAAATTTTAGCTTACTTTCTGCAAGATAACTTGTGTTGTTAAGCATGCATTTATTCTGATTAGAAATGTTTGGTGCCTATTTTGTTGGTATCTTCTACCCTAAACATAATTAACTTCCAATGAATAGTGAGATGAGATGTCATTGTGTAATCAAATCTAATGTGTGATCTTGTGAATCTTCTTTTCTGGGTTACTTTTATAGTTTTATTGGCTATCAGCACGATAGTTAAATAAAACACAAGGTGTTTTAACCTACTGAGGCAACATGTGTTGGTAAATGTTTCATTGAAGAACGACCCGAATATTGGATTAGGAGAAAACAATAAAATATGTTACTATTTTGCATTCATGTAAATTAGGTACTAAAAAATTAGCATTCATGGTAGAAATATAATAAAACAATAAAATACCAATTAATAAAACCAGTCTCAGACTAACGGCAAGCTTTCTATATTCAGAGTATTTTACCTATGTAGCATGTCAATCAACAAGTTGGCAACATGTGCACAACTTTCAATTTGTAATGTAAAGTCTGTGCATATTATTTCAAGGTGCTAGGTGCTGTTTAATGTCACACTGACTTGTTAACAATTATGTTATATGTCAATTTGCTTGTCCATGTGTTAACATGGGAGCTTCTGTAAATCTGTGTTGATAATATAGTTATGAATAATTTGATTGTTGTGGAGGTAACATCATAGTTAGTGTCTATTGTTATGAAATGATTTGTGATACTGCTTATATTTGTAAAATTTTATAGTGTATTCTCCTCATGTTCCCTTTTACACTGTATGCTATTAATTATATGGTCTTTTGTCTCTGTTCTTGCAGTTTGATAATTTGTCACTAGTATGGGGAAAACCACGGCAACCACCTCTAGGTTCTGAAGAGGTATAAGCTGTATAATTCGTAAAAGATATTTCTTTTACAGGCTGCTAAAGTCATCATATTATGTACAAGAACTTCTCTTCCAAATACTCTTTTGCATTGATGATCATTGTAAATGTGCAATTTTGCTTATTGTTGCTTTTGCAAATGATGCAATTAATAGGGAGCTTAGGTCTCCTATTAGGAGAGTCTAACAATAGGAAAAAAAAGGAGAGACGAGGGGGGTAAGTGATATGAGTCAATTTGAGATAATGGATGGAAGGTGTGTGGTGGAAATGTTCTTAGTTCAATTTTTATTTGAGTTATGAATGAAAAATCAAGAACACTTGCCACTTGACACAAGTTTAATCCATTGGATTATATAAGTGTAAAAACTTGTGTTCAAGAGCATTAGAATGAATCAAGTATGAAAGAGAGAAGAATAAAAAACGCAAAAATAAGAACAAGTGAAGGAAAAGTACAAGTAAAGAGCAAATGGAAGAGAGGACTTGTGAGATTAGATAGAGAACTCACGCCATTTGGAAGAAGTTCCAAGACAAAGTGGTGGTTAATCACCACTTGATCTACGAGGGCCCAAAAAGACTCGAGAGAAATGACTCACTCTCACAAGATCAAAATAAACTCACTTCTAGTCACTTTTCCAAAGTGATTTTCAAGGAGCATATGGGTACAAGGTTATCATACTCAAGAGTCTATGTAGACTCTAGTAAGAGTTTATTTTGTGTGAGATATCATACTAGTTTAAAAACAATGTAAGCATCATGATACCATCTCAAAACATCTACTCCCTGTTTCCAATCAAACGATGTGTTTTGTGCCAAAAAACATGTTTTGTTGTTTACCAAATCCACGGAGTTTTTCTTTTAACCCTAAAAAATGAGTTTGCACACGAGTTGACTCGTTACCAAGGAATAGACTTGTAAACTCGTCCCGTCTGAGTTAACCCTAGAGTTTGATAACCGTGCATGGGTATTTATAAGGTGTATTAAGGAGGGACAATGGAGAAGGAGAATTTGAATTTTGAAATTCAAATCCCCTTGATAGATGCCGAGAATCTAGGAGGCCATGTGGGTGCATGCTTTCCACATTTAATGTGGTAAATGTGAGTTGCATGTGTTCCATGTATTTCATGTCTGTACTCCTCTAATGGATGTGTCATGTGAGGTCTTATGGGCTTGGATAAAGGCTTAGATAAGGCTCCATGGAGGGAAGAGTTAAGACCCTAAGTGGAGAAGACTAAAGACAAACCCAACTAATGCTAAAAAATACAAGCCCATCATCCATAATGAAAATTACATCAAATAAATATGTTTTTTTAAACCAATAGAAAATAAGGAAACAGGGTGAAGGATCATTTAATGATGATCCATTCATGCGTTCATCAATAAGTCCATGAATAATTGTGACAGAAAAAACTAATAGCTAACTATAGTTAGGTTGTTATTAGTTGGATGCAAGGTTTATTAGTATTGTACAATTCATGATACAATTTCTTCAGGTTGGCAATACAAATTGTGCTTCAAATTGTTTGAATTGCAGTTGAATCACATGAATTGTATCCCACAAACATATGGTTGTTTATTCACAACAGTTATCACCTCAAACATGGTCAAGCCATGAGCAATGTGATTCTTAAAAACAGTAAATGGAGAAATCACATCATGTCTTGATTGTCTTATGCACAAGACAACCACCAAAAAGTGACCCTGGAAAGCATATTCCGACAACCACAACAAAGTCTGAAGGTGAATCTCAGTGAGTAGAACTTCTAGTGATAAATGGAGGAAACTGGAGATAGTTGCTTGTTAGAAAAGGTGGATACAGTTGGGTTAGCAAGCTGGAGCAATCTTTCAGAATGAGAATAGTTGAAGGGAGAAGACTCAAGATGTTATGGTGGCTTTAGAGGGAGAAGCCTTAGGATTAATGGTGGGTATCTTGTAAACCAAACCCATCTTGGTAAGGGTTCAAGAAAGCGGTATTCAAATATTCCAGCCCACTATGCTGAAAGTCATTTTGAATCATTGTAACCTCTGAAACAGACCAGATCTATGAAGAAGTTTATTTCTCAATTTAAAAGATATATTGGGTAATGGAGGTCATTGAAGAGTAGTGCTTGATGTACATGCTCTTGAATGAAAACATTAAATTATGGTAGACCACAAAATTGTAAATGTCCTTCTTGGAGTTTGGGTTAGCATGAAACATTTAATTTTATAACATTTTAACACCTAGTAGTTGAGCCAGGTCAGAAGGTACCCAACAGTGGCGGATCTTCTTGGGAGATGAGAGGGGTCGTGGCCCCCCCAAAGTTTTGTAACTTCCATGTAATTTATGATTTTGGCCCCCCCCAAACTTAATTAACATTTAATATATTTACTTGTTTATTTACAATTTTATCCTCTCAGCCTCTCCTCAGTTTTGTAACTCATATAATTTATTATTTTGTCCCCCTCAAACTTAATGATCATTTAATATATTTAAGTATATATCTACAATTTTATCCTTTCACTCTTTCATCTTCTTTTTTCCTTTTATATTTATTTATTATTTATTAATAATATATTATTTGGTCCCCTCAAGATCAATGTTCAAGATCTGCCACTTACTCAACCTTCTGTACTTGAAAGCAATTCTCATATGATTTATGGGATGTTAAGTAATATATTTAACCTTTTCTTTCTAACCCAAACTTCAAAAAAACTGTGGTAAAAAATTAGTTTTATGAATGAAAATGTAAACGACAAATACATTAAAGGGGTTGTTAGACAAATGACATCTAGAGGGAGGTGAATAAATGTACAAATTAAAATAGATGTCAAATTAAAAAAATTATTTTAAGATGTCCAATAATTTATTAATTTAATTTTAATTATTAGATAAAATATAGATAAAGCGGAAGCGATATAATCAAATAGATAAAGGGAAAGATTCAAGTGTGGAGATGTAGGATGCTGTTAAAGAGATAAAGACAAGAGAAGAGCACACAGTAATTTATGCTGATTCGGGTATAACCAACCTTACATTCAGTTCCTAGTCAACTCTAATCATAAGAGTGACTCCAAATTCACTATCTTTAAAATTCAGTTTACAAATTACAATCAACTCAGCAGAGAACTAGTAAAAATTAAACTAATTAAAAAGACAATCACTTCCTTAGAAACCTACTAAGGATGAACACCTCCCTAAAATCCTATTAGGGATGAACACCTGCTCTGAAAAAATCAAAGGATGAAAAACACCTCCTTTGCAACCAATACACAAAGGATGAACACTTCCATAAAATCATATTAGGGATGAACACCTCCCCGAACAAATCAAAGGGATGAAAATACCTCTTTAGAATCCCACTAAAGATGAACACCTCCCTAGAATCCCACTAGGGATAAACACATCCTCTGAACAAATCAAAGGGATGAAAACAATCACAACCATAACCACACTGATCAATAGACAGTATGCACACCTAAACCCACAAAGGATGAAGGCTATAAAATAAGAGTAATGACCTAAACCCTAAAAAGAGAATTTAACAACAACCACCTAAACCCACAAAGGATGAAGACAATAAAATAAGAACAATCACACCTGGGTAATGGAGACAACAAATTGTAAAAGCCTGTAGAATGTCAAACTCCAAGAACAAGTGTGATTAACAATAAAAACATAGTTGTTTTGCTCGGAATTCTTTTCTTAAAACTGAATGAATTTAAAATTGTATTTTCCAATTCTGTAATTGTGTATTTTTTATTTTTCATCAAAACTCATTTAAAGAGGAAAATAACATCAGAAAATAGTTGTTGGTCATTAATAATTTTGTAGAGAAAAATCAGGATGTATTAAAAACCATTTATTCTTCAAAACGAATATATTTTTCAAATTTGAGCTGCCATAATCGATTATGTTACCAGTATAATCAATTATGACAAAGAGAAAATCGTGTTTCCATTTTTTATGCATCATAATCAATTATGACAGTGAAAAATGTCATGTTACGAAATTTTATCACACTTGTGCTTTGTAGGTTTATGCATAATACCACTTCATCAACTTGTACTTTCATATTCAGTATTCTAAGACTCTATCTAGTCTTCAGGAATAATCTTGGGTTTGTTTGATGTTTGAATGGAATCTTTATCAAAATCATATCTTGAACTTGTTTGAGTCTTGAATGTTGTTGACTTGAATCATCATCAAAATCATCTCTTGGGAATGTAAGGACGTTTTTCATATTTCCATCAATCTCTCCCTTTTTGATGATGATAAAAAAAAACTGAAATGAATTAAAATGCTTGACTCTATATAGTCAGTTGAAGATTAACACAGATTTGTATCAAGTGTCAGCGTCTCTTAATCTCTCTCTGGATATATTAATAACAAGACTTCTCCTAACTCATAAGAGTAAAGACTTATCTTAACTCCCCCTGTTTAATTCAAATATAGAAATGAATGTTACACATATTTTAATTCATAAAAAAATCTTCCTCTGTTTCATTGATAATAAAAAAATTATTGTAAAAAAAAAATCTCCCTCTATTTCTCACAGATTAATATCATTAAAATCTCTTTTTGTTTCATTGATAATTATGAAAAATTGAGCACAAATTTGCATAGATTAGTACATAAATCAAGGCAGAGAAGATAATGCATCACAAAGTGTTATAGAGAAGAACATCATATTAAGGATGCAATATCTAGGATGTCCAAGACAAATGAAGAGAGAAAGATAGGGGAATGGAATGGAATGAAGTAGTTTTCCCCAATTGTAGTCTTCTTATTAAGACAAGCATTCAAATTCAAATTCACTCATTTCAAATTCAAATTGCAACAAATTTCAAATTCAAATTTTTAATCCCACATTTCAAATTCCAATTCAAATTCAAAAATATCAATCTGCAAAAATTTCAAATTTCAAAAATCTCAAACTACAAAATTTCAAATGAAAAAAAAAAAACTCAAATTGCAAATATAAAATTTCAAAAATTTTAAATTTTAATAATTTCAAATTTTCATAAATTCAGATTTTCAAAATTCAAACTTTCAATTTTCAAAATTCAAACTTTCAAATTTCAAACTTGAATAATTTTAATTTTTCATAAATTCAGATTTTCAAAATTCAAACTATAATCATTTCAAATTTTCAAAAGTTTTGTCATAATCGATTATCACAACACCTTCAGAATTAACATAATCAATTATTTGAATAAGAAATTTCACTCTAGAAGACAACATAATCGATTATCACAGCATAATGAAAAAGAACATAATCGATTATCACAATAAGAATTCACACTCTGAAACACAACATAATCGATTATCACAGCACATACAGAAATAACATAATCAATTATCACAGCAAGAAATCTTACTCCAAAAGTCAACATAATCGATTATCACAGTAGAAAATTATTTTACTAGAATTTTTTTATCTAGACATGTGTAAATGTTTTGATCCTTTAGACACATTCATATTTGTCATTAGATATACCAAAATGCTTTATGTAATATCTATTTGATGTATGACCTAATTTCATGCAATAAAATCATGTTGGTTTTCTTTGAAAAAGTTTAAATGAGTTTCTTAAAGTTTTTGAAACTGGTTTCACATCTGTTTTCCTTAACTATTTCACAAAAATAGTTTTATGAGGTTCTAGACTTTCTTTGGGTTTGTAACCAAGTCCAGATTTGCTAGAATCTCATCTTTGATAACCTAATATAGAATAAAGATTTTCAGAAGATTTTGAAAACTTGCTCATTATTTTCTATAACTTGAAAATCTCATTTTCCTACAAATTTTACAAAATTTAGCAACTTCTTTATCTTTAGCCAACAGTATTTTCTAATGCATGAAACTTTTGTTTAAGTGCTATATGTTTCTTAGTTAGTCTTTCAAGATGTTCAAACATTTCTTGATAGGCTTCAAGCAACTCATCATATGCATTTGAGGATTTTGTGTTACTTATTAGTGATGAGGTTTCTTGTGATGAGGCTTTATCATTACTCTTTGTCATCAAGCAAATATTTGTTTTTTTTTTTCTCCATCACTGCTTTCGGAAGAACTATCGTGTTGTGGAAGAATCATTATAAGCTTTGTATTTTCTCTTATAGATATTGTTCTTCTCTTTCTTCTTCTCTTTCACATCTTTCTTCTCTTAAGTTCTGGACAGTCTGATTTGATATGATCAAGCTTTCCACATCCATAGCACTTGTATCTATTGTTTTTTTTTTTTTTTTTTTTGCTGTCTCTTTTTCTTTTTTTTCATAAAACGAGAAAACTGCTAAAAGAGACATATCGGAATCTAAAAAGTTACCTTCATTTTCGCTTTGATCCTATGAAGCTTGTACTGCATTAAGAGCTATTGTCTTGGTTTGGTTCTATTCACTGTTCTTTAACCTTTGTAGTTTCATCTCATACTCTCGCAATTTTCCAAATAGAGTAGCAATATTCATTTTTGTGAGATCTTTTGATAAATGACCTTTGATTGTCAATTCCTGTCTAAGCATTTCAAGATCTTTGTGTTCAATTCCTCATTGTCAAAACTCTGTCCTAATGCTTTCAACTGATTTACTATGTGTGAAGCGTGTCTGGAAATCCGTGATGTTTTTATTCTGCTGCATTTGCAACAATTCATACTCTTGAATAGATGCACAAATTAAAATATATGCTAAATAAAAAAAATTATTTTAAGATGTCCAATAAATTTATTAATTTAATTTTAATTATCAAATAAAATATAGATAAAGCGGAAGTGATATAATCAGATAGATAAAGGGAAAGATTCAAGCGTGGAGATGTAGGATGCGGTGTTGTTAAAGAGATAAAGGCAAGAGAAGAACACACAATAATTTATATTGGTTCGGGTAGAGTGACTTCCAATTCACTATCTTTAAAATTCAGTTTACAAATTACAATCAATTCAACAGAGGAACCAGTAAAAAGTAAACTAATTAAAATGATAATTACCTCCTTAGAAATCCACTAAGGATAAACACCTTCTTAAAATCCCACTAGGGATGAACACCTCCTCTGAACAAATCAAAGAAAGAAAAACACCTCCTTTGCAACCAATACACATAGGATAAACACCTCCTTAGAAGTACACTAAGGATGAACACCTCCCTGAACAAATCAAAGGGATGAAAACACCTTCTTAGAATCTCACTAAGAATGAACACCTCCCTAAAATTCTACTAGGGATGGACACCTCCTCTAAACAAATAAAATGGATGAAAACAATTACAACCACAACCACATTGATCAAGAGACAGTATGTACACCTAAACCTACAAAGGATGAAGGCAATAAAATAAGAACAATCACACCTGGGTAATGGAGACAACAAATTGTAAAAACATGTAGAATGTCAACCTCCAAGAACAAGTGTGATTAACAATGGAAGCACATGAAGACAGTAGAAAAGAGGGTTTTCTCAGGTGTAAAATATTTTTGTTGTCTTTGTTCGAATTCTTTTCTTAAAATTAAATGAATTTAAAATTGTATTTTCAAATTCCGTAATTGTGTAATTTTATTTTTCATCAAAATTTACTTTTTAAAAAAAAATAACATCGAGAAAATAGTCGATGGTCATTAATACTTTTATAGAGAAAAATCATGATGTATTAAAAAACATTTATTCTTCAAAATGGATATACTTTTCAAATTTGAACTGTCGTAATGGATTATATTACCAGTATAATTAGGCATGGCAACGGGCGGGCGGGGCGGTTTTGCCTCCCGTCCCCGCCCCGACTTTTTAACCATCCCCGTCCCGCCTCGATCCCCGCCGGGTTAGGAATTAAGTCCTCATCCCCGTCCCCGCCGGGTTTCGGGTTCCCGCCCCCACCCCGTCCCCAATTTATATTATTTTTAAAAAGATAATTATATTTATAATAAATTAATTTTACTATGTATTTTTATATATAAATAAATATTTATAATTTATAGTTATTATTAATTAAATATACATTTTAATTTATTATATTTATATTAAAATATATATGTAAAAGAAATATTTAATTATTTTTTATTTATATATATATATATAATATTTATAACATTATTATTATTATTATTATTATAACACTCGTATTCAAATATTTGAATATTTATAACATTATTATTATAATACTTGTATTCAAATATTTAATTATACATATAAGTTAATTCATTTTTAAGTTGTCAATATATAGTTTATAAGAAAATATTTAATAAGTTAATTCTTATTTAATTAGTTTGAAGTAATAAAAGTTTAAATTATTAATTTCTTTTAATCCTTTAAAATGCAATTATTTTATTAAGATAAAATTTGATATATGATAAATAAGCATAATAAGATAAAAAAAATATGGCATAATAAATATAAATTATAAATAAACTAATATTAGTTACTACTAAGATTGATATAAAATATTTAGAAAAAGATAAAGAAAAAAGATTAACTTTGTGTTCATCAAATTGATTGAAAAAAAAAACAAATTGATGGGAGAGACTAAGAAAATGTGAAAAAGCTGAAAGATAAGGGAGAGAATAATATAATAAATTAATTGATATAAAAGATTGAGAAAGATAAAAAAAATTAAAAAGTGGGTAGAAGAAAAATAAAAATTGGTGAAATATAAAAAAATAACCTTATATGTAATAGAAAAAGAAAATGAAATACTTTTAAAATATTAATATTTTAAAATTTAAATTTAAATATAAAGTCGGGCGGGCGGGGCGGGGTGGGGATTGCATTACCCATCCCCGCCCCGCCCCGACTTTTTAAAGCGGGAAAACCCGAACCCGACCCCGCCCCCGGTCAACTCGGGGTTTCCCCGTCAAACTCGGGGCGGGGACGGGTCGGTCCCCACGGGTACGGGTTTAATTGTCATCCCTAAGTATAATCAATTATGACAGTGAAAAATGTCATGTTACGAAATTTTATCACATTTGTGCTTTGGAGGCTTATGCATAATACCACTTTATTTCATCAACTTGGACCTCCATATCCAGTATTTTAAGACTCTATCTAATCTTCAGGAATCATCTTAGGTTTGCTTGATGTTTGAATGAAATTTTTATCAAAATCATATCTTGAGTTTCCTTGAGTCTTGAATGATGTTGACTTGAATCATTATCAAAATTCTCTCATGGGAATGTAGGGACATGTTTCACATGTTCATCAATCTCTCCCTCTATGCTTTCAAGGGGTTATTTGTAGTTTATCTTAATAATTTAATATTTATTGTGTTAGAAGGGAAAAGAAAGGAATTTCAAGGATTTGAACTGCATCATGAGAGAGATTCTAATCCCTGGAAATGTGGATTGTGGAATGGACAGAAAGCAACTAAGACACATTTTTAATTCATGTGTATAGATGGTATGCTTGCATCTGTTTTTTACTTGGGTGGAAGCCAAATTTTTTACTATCACAACTGTTCACTATGATAATCAGTTTCATGTTCATGTTTTGATCTGGTTTATATTTTTATTTTCATTGGTTTTCAAAGTTGAGTGTCATAATAATACTTCTGTTTGGATGGGACGATTTTGAAGGGAAAAGAGTTTGAAGGTAAAATTTTCATTTTTGAATTGAGGGTTATTCCTTTAATTCATTCATTACTTGAAATGAAACATTTGTAGTTTTTTCTCTTTCCATTCAAAACTTCCATCCCAAACATACCATTGAATTAATTTTTACCATACTGTGCCAGATAGGAGCATTCTGTAGATGGTTAAAGCTTTTGCGTTTGTTTTGGTGGTGCCCTTGATGCAATCTTGACATGAAATATTTTCATACTGCAATCATTCATATATGTTTCTTATAGCTATTCTGATTGCAACTGTTTAGGGATAACATTCATATTATTATGTAAAAGATTTATCCTGAAAGTTTTCAGGTGCTTGCTAATTATTATTGGGATTAAACATTTGCAGTGGATTATCTTCCTGGATTCTGAAGGTCGAGTCACAGATTCAGAAGCTTTGCGAAAGAGAGTATTTTATGGTGGACTTGACCACGAATTACGGAATGAGGTTAGTGTATCGCATCTGTAATGAGTTTTAGGCTAAGCGTCTCGATTATAAATTAATTCACGTTTTCCATCTGCTAAAGCTTATATATAAATCATAGGTTTGGGGTTTGCTTTTGGGATATTATCCATATGAATCAACATATGCTGAGAGAGAGTTCCTGAAGTCAGTTAAAAAGTCAGAATATGAGAACATAAAGAACCAGTGGCAGGTTTTCATTTGCTCCTCCCATTCTTTTTCGTTGATGTACTTCTCTTTCTGCTTTCATACTATTCGCTTCAAAATTGTTTATCAATCATAAGTTGGATGCAACTTGCTATATGGAGGTCTGTTTCTCTTGTAATATTTTTGGATCCCAATTTCATGAGATGACCTGCAATACCTTTACTTTATAGTTTTCCAAATATGTAAATTAAACATTCATGAGCTGTCAAGTATATTGATGCTAGACTGATGATATAATATCAAATATGGGTTTAAATGAATAAGGTTTTGGTCAAACATAGCAAGACCACTACTAACCGCATTGTGCTTGCACAGGTGAATTGTTTTTTCAGTTGGAACCAGTTTGACTCAATGTTGCTTGGTTACTGCTACCCACATTGAACTGCATTCTGCATACAACCTTAAAGAAAATATGGAGCTGATAAATGATTGGCTGTACAACAAATAGTAAACAACTCTTAACAAAATATTACCCTAACCTTGCCAGTTTCTGAAATATGATGACCTGAAGTCTGAACCTGGATTTACTCATCCATTTGTTGTATGATGTTTGTTTACATTTTCAATCAATCTTCTTCTAATTATGAGTTCTAATAATGTATATTGACATCTCTTGTAATTCTGCGGTAATTCTATATACTCTCAGCTAAGTCTTCTGCTCAAAATATAAATTTGTTATTTTTTTTTCCTTGTAGAGTATATCCTCAGCACAGGCTAAAAGATTCACAAAATTCAGGGAAAGGAAAGGGCTTATTGAGAAAGATGTGGTAGGCTAGTGCAATAGATTCTAAATTAGAATGATCAATGAACACATAAATGATGCTTATGTAGTTTTAATGATCTTGTACTTTTGAAGGTGAGAACTGATAGATCGCTCGCATTTTATGAAGGGGATGATAATCCAAATGTAAATATTCTGCGAGATATCCTGTTGACTTATTCATTCTACAACTTTGATCTTGGTTATTGCCAGGTAACTGTGCAGTGGATCTTGGATTTATTTTTAATTGCTGTTAATATCATATATCATCATCATCAAAATATTTATCTTATTCTTTTTAAAAGTTGAGTCCTTATCTTAATTTTTTTTATGTAGTCACTACAGCAGGGACGGGTTATCTTAATTTATTATCTTGAACCAAGTGTATTTTGAAACCATGAATCATTATGCTTCTTCATCGTTTCCATATGCTGTCTTGCCCGCTTCGTCCTCTTGGTTGATTAATTGTTTGATTAAACAAAGAACACGTAATGTATTGACTACAGCAAGAAGGATTATTTTAATGGCTATTATCTTCTTGAACCAATTACATTTTGAAACCATGAATCATTAGGCCTCTTCATTGATTTCATGTGCTGTCTACCCCCTTCCTCCACTTGTTTGATTAAACAAAGAATATGGAGGAGGTGTATCTTCATAGCTACTATCTTCTTGAACCAATTATATTGTCAAAAACCATGAACCATTAATGCCTCGTTGTTTTTATTTGCTGTCTTCCCCCCTTCCTCCAAATCAAAAAATTTGTTATAGTTTAGTATTATTATCTCACATGGATAGGGAATCTTATTTATGTGCTGTTTCACAGGGAATGAGTGATCTTCTATCTCCGATATTGTTTGTGATGGATGATGAATCAGAAGCATTTTGGTGTTTTGTTGCTCTAATGGAACGTCTTGGACCCAATTTTAATCGGGATCAAAACGGCATGCACTCTCAACTTTTTGCATTATCTAAGGTTTTTCTCTTTTTCTCTCTCCTTTACAAGCCACTCAGGTACAATGCATCTTTAATTTTTATTTGCTTGCCTTTAGTGGCCCTATATTATTTTAAAACACATGTCCAACATAATGGGGAAAGGCTTGGCTGCTGTTGTATATGCATGGAGGCCTATTATTAATTCATCTGTTTGTCCAGTGGTGTGCTTAAATAATTTTAAATGTAGACTTGAGAGATTACAGATTGAGGGTGTTGTTATGATTTTCATAATTTTTTTGGTAGCTAAAAAGTTGTCCTGGTTCTGACCTGTTATGTAACTAGCATGTTATAATTCCTAACTTTTATGAATTTGACAAGCATTTTACCACTAGAGGAGACCAACAAGGATCAAACAACAACTCTGCTTATGTTGTGCTCTGTTATAATTGTTTACAAGTTTGCCCCAGCCTAGATACCACAGATAAGCTTAGTCAGATCTTAGTGAAATGAATCAGTATCGTATGTACATGGACATTTAAATTTTATTCACAAAGTCTTTCCCAAACTTCTAATTCTGTAAATTTATAGAGTTTGATATAACCAGGGACAAACCTACATTGTAGGTAGGCCACCCCTGATTTTTTAATTATAAATTTTTAATATATATATATATATATATATATATATATATATATAGAGAGAGAGAGAGAGAGAGAGAGATTGATAGATAGATATTTTTAGCTTATGTAATAATGTTAATTTTTTTTTATTTTATGTCATATGTTATCAATTGATTATCATCATTATTCAAATATAATTATCCAAGGTTTTTTTCATGCATTTTACCATCAAAGTTTTCAATTTTTGATAATTTTACCAATCTAATAAATTCTAACATTGATTTGTAAATGATTTTATTTTTTAAAACAAATAAGGTTAAAATGATGTTGTTTTGCAAAAATTAATAAAATGATATCATTTTTATTTTATTTTATTTTTTATTGTCACATTATCACACTGCAAAAAAAATAATGAATTGGTAAATTTTGTAAAAACTGGAAGACTTTGATTTGATGAAAAAATGTGCAAACATCGAGTAATAGTATTTGTGAATGATAATAGTTGAGTGGTAAAACGTGCCATTAAATCAATATTTTATTTTATAATCTTGAAGATTCAATATGCTTTTAGTCTTTGTTCTTTTTTGTAAATATTGATCCTAGTCTATATAATACTTTAAAAATTAACAAATTACTCTTTAATTTTTTTTTTTAAATATGAATTTAGTCCTTTAAAATGTTTAGGTATAAAATCACATTTAGTCATTTTATCAATTCTCTTAAAGTGAAAAAATAATTGTTAAATTTTATTAAAAAAGAGACGACAATTACATTTTCAAAAATTAGAACACCAAATTGCTCAAAGACAAGGTTGTAAAAAAGTACATGGACCAAAATTAATTTTTTCCCAATCTTTATTACAAATCTTTTATCTTACATCTGAAATGTGAGATTCTAGGGTGGGGTTTATAAAGTCTTACTACCATGTCTCTCAATTGCAAATGAGTGGCTTTATTGTAAGGCCCACGGCCCCAAAGCATGGTAGGAAATAAGCAATCTATATGTGGAAGGTATGGGACATTCGAAATATGTGATTTAGTTCGGGTGTATAAGGGTTGGGGGCTTTCAACTACAATGACTAGATTTTGTTGGGTGTTTTCCAAGGTTTTTTATTGTTAACATTTTAGTATGCTGGCCATTCTAAACGCAGAAAGACTTCTTTGCTTCATGTCATGATTCATGAAACTAGATGGCGGAATAGGAATTGTATACAATCGTATTTTCCGTTGAGCTTTCTATAGCCAAAGTTTGACAGTGTGTGGTACGGTGTATATACCTGTTACCTTCCCACCTTTATATACTACATCTTTGAGTAACTTGGTCTCTACATCATTTTATAGGAAATTTGGTTTTGAAGTGTATTGCTGTTGCTTTACCATTCCGAACTAATACATTTATTTGTTGTTGCAGTTGGTGGAGCTGCTGGATAGTCCATTGCATAACTATTTTAAGCAGCGTGACTGCTTAAATTATTTCTTTTGCTTCCGCTGGGTTTTGATTCAATTTAAAAGGTTAGACTCCTAAAATTGCTACATTTGTCACAACAAAATTACTGTTAGTACATACTATATTACATATGATGTTAATGTTGCTGAGTTTGTGTTTCAAATGTTATTTTCTACTTACCCTCTGAAAATAGTTAGGATATACCAGCAAAACCGAAGGCAGTTGACTACAATAAATAGAGTTTTTTGGATAGAATTCAAAACATAAAATATACCTCTGAATTCTACTCTTCCGATGGCAAATAGTAATTAATCTTTTTGTGCTGCTTTCTATTTTTTGGCCTATGTTCTCTAGTTTGCTTACACCGTGTTTTTACTTCTAAGATGAGTCAGAAAGATACTATACTTTTGAGAGCATTTCAGACAGAGAAGAAGCCACTCTGTCAGATTAGAATTACATATAGTTTCATTGTGTTATCAACGATGAACAAAGTTTCCTAGTTTCATGAAGTTGTGGTCTCTTTTTATCTTGATAGTAGTTTCCTCAACAGTTATAGAGAATGTTGGGGGAAATTGTACTCGATAAAATTGGTTCAAAGATTACATGTTAGGTGATTTTACTTTCTGTTTTTTACTGATGGAAATACATACAAATCGATTTGATGCAAGTCATAGTGTTACTGGTTTTCAAATTGCAGGTCTTGCAGTTTCAGCCTTAGAATTACCTATAAAGCATTTTATCTACAATACTTAGACAGCTAAACAATATTGATTGACATTTCAGGGAGTTTGAGTACGAGAAAACAATGCGCTTGTGGGAAGTTTTATGGACACGTTATCCGTCTGAGCATCTGCACCTATATGTTTGTGTGGCAATATTGAAACGATATCGTGGTAAAATAATGGGAGAGGAAATGGACTTTGACACCCTGTTGAAATTTATTAATGAGCTAAGTGGTCACATCGACCTTGATGCAACCCTCAGAGATGCTGAGGCTCTATGTATATGTGCTGGTGAGAATGGTGCTGCTCGCATACCCCCTGGAACCCCTCCATCGCTGCCTGTTGATGATGGTTCTTTTTACGCCCAACAAGATGAAATATTGTAAATTAATTCACTGTCATCGGAATTTTTTTTCTGATACTTGTATGTATCAATCTCATTGTGTATTGCCTGATTCGTCGTCTATTTTTAGCATATTTAATACATCATTTCTTTAGCTATATTTGTGCCTTTGATTAGACCGCATCATTTATATATTTATCTCTGCCCAAAAGGGAAATACATTTATATGCTCATCTTGTTCTTTTTTTGGAGAAACTAAAAAATATAATAATTTTTTATTTAATAATATATTTAGACTAATTAAAAGTTAGATGAAGAATTAAAGTCTAACACTAAAAATTACTAAATGTTCCTTGATTTTAAAATTATCTGTTAATTTTTTTGTTAATTTGATAGTTAAATAAAAACAGTGGAATTAGTATATAATTTTTTATAATTTTGAGACAAAGAAGTAACTATCATAAATTATGTTTATATAATTAATGTCATTAACATGGAATGTCACTAGTTGATGATTAATATTTGTTGGACAATCTAATTTACTACTTTTAGTGGGGTTTTTATTCCAGTGATACTTTTTTCATCCACAATGAAGAACATGAAATCTTATTCAAGATAATTAGGTCTGGTCTAGTATTACTTGCTCATGCGTACTTTTTCTTCTCTTTTATCTTTAATATTTAAAATTTAGAGGAAGCCTGGAAGGTTCTTTGTTTTATGTTGGAAGTTTACATCTTTATGGTTTGTCCCAGCTGTGGTCGAGCAGGATAAACTTTTCTGATCAGTTTTATAGATCCAGTAAAATGAATTAAATTTATTTTCCCATAAGTAAAAAAATTAATTTATCTATATTTTAAAATAAATTATAATTTTTTATCTAATTTATTTCTATTTAAGTTAACAGTCTAATAAAGACAACTTTATCCTGATTACAAATTATATATATATATATATATATATATATATATATATATATATAGTTAACTAAAAAGTATATGTATTTCTATATAAAAGTAAAAATAAAAAATATTTTAAAATTTTAAATTATATTAATGAAAATAATATTTATTTATATAATTATTTAATATATAAATTATAAAATTTATATAATAATTTAATATTAAATTATAAAAAATATTAAAAATCTATTATTTATTGTCATCATTATTTTTTTTTAATAATCTTATATTTTAATTTACTTTAATCATAAGATTCTTATATAAATATAAGTGATATTAAAAATTTATTCTTATATTTATTTTCAATTTTTATAAACTTAGTTTATAATATATTTATTTTTTATTTAAAAAATTATTATTGTTTTATAAAATCATTCATAAATCTATGGATTAGTTTAATATATATCTATTTATATCAATAAATCAGGTTAAAGTTTACTTGATTTAATTTAAATTATAATTTTTTATTTAAATTGATTTATTTTATAGTTTTTTATTTAAATTGATCTATATCATAAATATTTTCAACCGACTCAGAACAAAATTTATTTTTACACGTATAATATGATAAATTTAAAAGATTATAGATAAATATCAAATTAAAAAATGTATTTTAAAGTAAATTTTATCAATATAAATGTAATACCATGTTACAGCAATATTTATACATCTTGTTTAGCTTGAACTTGTCTCCTGGACTGTAATCTTGTCTAATTTTATGTATTATCGCTGAAGAAATGCATTTACTCTCTTCATAAAAAAGTTATTATTAAAAAATTATTTATTTTCAATAATAATAATAATTATTATTATTATTATATATTTATTATATAACCTATTAAATAAAGATAATCACTAAAAATTGATTAAAAAGTATTATTAAAAATATAAATGTTAAATACTAAGTATTTTATTTTTTAATATCTAAATTTGCGTTCTATATTAAAAAAGTAAAAGAGAGAGACTTTAAGAATATAATTAAAGCACGCTTTTAATTAAAATGTTGCAAAGAGTAACATATGGTTCTATAATGATTTTGTTAATATTAATAATGAATATTCTAGAAAGTTTGACATGATTTGGATAGTATAAAGAGTAAATATTTTTAAAGTATATGGAAAGTTAAGACTCTTAATTTTAATATATTGTTATTATTGAACTTTACATTTGTACTAAAAAGTTATGAATAAAAAAATTAACTATTTTATTTTTTTTATGAATTTTTTATTTAAATAAAATTCTAAAATTTTTATTTTCTTTCTAGATGTCTGTTTTTTTTTAAAGATTACAATGCATTCTAATACTTTTGGTAATAGAATGCTTTTATCTGATCAAGATATTTTCGATTCAACTCTTTTTGTCCCTTCTTTCACATATTTCATATGATTTAAAAGAATGCATCTAGATTATACAATTTTGATCTCTTGCATTTTTATATTTTTTATTTATTATATTTATTTATTATTTATTAATATTATTAATGAAAATGAATATACATTAATTTAGAATTTAGAATTATGATAGTGATCAATTTGTTGATTAGGATCTTTTTTAACATGTGTTCAAACTCCTGTGAACTTTTGAAGGTTTTGAAACTCTTAAAGGTGAATATTGAAAGATAAGAAAAATTAGTGGTCATTTCTAAAGTATTTTGAGCTGGATGTTATGAGGTAATTTGGTCAAAATTGTTTGCTTTTCAAAAATTGCAATTGAATTGAATAATTGATAGATTACGATGTTTTACAACCCTACTTGTTGTTTTATGTGTTATGATTAATTATGTTTAAGAATGTAATAAGGTGAAATGATTATTGCATGTATATTATTTAGGGGAAAGTAACCAAGTTAGTTTAATTCAATATTTCAAAAATCGAATCAGATTAGGGTGACCATTTGAAAACTGTCATGTTACTTTACAATAATCAAATCAATATAAAATCATAAAAATCAATACAAAATAATTAAGATATAATATTTTTTAGTCAAGGTTTTGATAAAAAAATAATTAAGATAATTTTTTTTATTTAAAAAAATATTTATTTTATAAAAGATATAATAATTTTCAGTTTTTATTTTATTTATTATATCAAATTTAAATAATATTTATTATATTATATTTTCATTTTACTTTCACTGATATTAATCTTTTATTTTAGTATATTTTATATTTGTTTAATCTTAATTGTTATTTATAGTGACAATGATAATAATTATAATTCTCTCTTTTATAAGAAATAATATTATTAATAAATTTATCATATATTTATTATGTTATTATATAATAAAAATAATTGTTTTACTAAATTGGTTGAGTCATATTTGAACTTTTTAAATCCTGAATTTATGTTTTTATTAGTCTGATTTTAAAAATATTAATTTAATTACATCGTGTTTTAGGTAAAATTATAGTAGAAGTGTTTAAAATGAATTCAACTTATATAAATCATAAAGAAAATGAATAGTGTGATGATAATGGATGTTGTATCTATATTTATGAAGAGAATGAATATTTTACTAAATAACTATGATAAGAGTAAATAATTATGATAAATTAAAACAAGTGAATGTTGAATTGATAATTATGATAAATTTAAATAATCATATATGTTAAATTGGAATAACCAAATGTTGTGTTCATATTTATGATAACTTTGAATAATCGAATGTGATTTTTATTTGATTAATCTTTTTTGTGAAATTAAATATGGGTTTAAAGGAGGAAAAATAGTATAATGAGACGTGGCTTATATATTGAATTGAAGATTTTATATAAGATATTTTAATTTTACTAGTATCAAACTTATAAAGATGGTAAGGATTCAAGGAAGTTTCTACAATCTAGTATGTGATGTAAAAGAAAATTACATTTAGTAAGTTACACAAATTAACCATGTCACATAAGAAAATATGTTGATATTATATATATATATATATATATATATATATATATATATATATATATATATATATTTCTAAGTACAATCCAAATATCTATGACATGTTAATATTAAGATAACTTAGCTAATAGATTTTACAGTATAATTATTGAACATAATTTAATTTATGTATGATAATAGAGTATGGATGAAATTTTGAGAACTATGATTATGATTGTGATTTAACACAATAATAAATAATATTTTTACGTAAAAAAATAGGCGAAACAAAACATAATATTAATAGATTAGTCCATTGTAATCAAACGAGTTGCAGACATAGTTTAATTTTGCCAAAAGTGTTTTGGTGAAATAGTTGTCCATCCACCAACTTTTTTTTTTCATAATAAACAAAAGTTATATATATATATATATATATATATATTTAATTATATAAATAATTTCAATATCTTTACATATTAATTAATATGTTTGTGGAATAAAGAAAGAATTATTACATTATAATCCTAAATTATAATTTTTTTTAATATATATATATATTATTAAAAAAATGGACATGTCAATATATATATTTTATCTAGTTTTGATTAATTATTTCGAAGAACTAAATAAGTAGACCAAAATAAATTTATAATAAAAAAAATATAAAGTTGACTTTTTAATTTTAATACTGTGGGGCCTAATAACCTACAATAAGGAAATATGAAAAATAAATTTACTATTTTTTTTTTAAATTACATTTTGTATTTGATTTTTAAGGAATTTGTTTACTAGAACCTTGGAAAAAAATTACTTTCTTTTTTAAATTACATTTTGTATTTTTTAAATTACATTTTGTATGGATTTTTAAGGAATAAGTTTAGTGGAACCTATATTATATATTTATGTTATATGATAGTTTAAGTTAAGTTAATGTATCTACAGATGGAAATATTATGTTATATAATTTCTGTATAATATTAAAAAATGAAATAATACTTCGAATAACTTTTGAAAATAATTATCACATAAATCAATAATTTTAATTTATCAATTTAATATTTAAACATAAGCTTTTAGAATTAGTATATTTGTTAGATGAATTCTTAGTATTTTAAAAATCTCAAAAGGTGTGTTCAGTTTTTCAGTTACTAGATGATTTGATAAATAATAATAACAACAACAACAATAATAATAATAATAATAATAATAATAATAATAATAATAATTTGTTTATCTTAACACATGTGTTAATAATACAATTAACAAAATGTTTCTATCAGCTAATTCTTTTTAATTAATATTCTCCACCACCTGATTCAATTATTATACTTGTGAGGATCCAGTGGTACTGTGAAATAATATTATGAACAGGAAAAAAAATGGTACTTTGAGCAATTTGAATGGACGAGCTATCCCACTTTTATGCCATATTAACAATTTATGAAGAACTGCGCATTATTTTTTATATTTATTATTAAAAATTTGCATTAATATAAATTCATATTTATTTAAAATTAAATCTATAAACTAAAGTTATTTAAAATCAAATATAAAAATACATGTATAAATACATGCATTCTGAAGATTAATGCATGCATTTTTTTTATATGTAAGTTCTGCATTGTAGTGCATTCTGTCTTGAGAGGAATTAGCTCACATCACCATTTTCAATCAGTGTCCCCCAACACATCAATTCATTATTCCGTTGCTTTACTTTCACAATACACAAAATGTTGAAGTTACTAATCAATAAACTGAACCAATTATAAATGAGTGCTCTATTTTTCCCTGATGTGGCTGTTTCAGACTGAAAGCTTCTGCAACTTCTGCTTGGCTTGTTTCAGTAACCACTCAACAGTAGATACGAATGAAAATGCAAGGACAACCAGCACGCGCCCACAAACACAAACAATGAATTAAGGCAATAATCAATGCATGTCCAACCACCACAACACAACCATGAAGCTGCCAATCAAGACAAGCAAATCCAAACCCCTCTCATGTCACATATCAGTGGAGTGTGTGAGGAGACAAGCTTTGAACCACTCCATACCCTACGCACCCTAGGGGTGTCCTCACCCTACTCTCATAGCCCTAGCCCATGCAATATGTCAACACATGAACCTTCTTCTCCCTCCAATTCCACACCACTCAACTGTCCAATCCAAAGGACAAACCACTATATTCATACACCTTGTGAGCGAGACTTGCCTCTACCGGGATGTAACTTTTGGGTTTGGATTTCATCATTTCAGCTTTGACAGTTTCATTTTAAAGTGGTCCTCCTTCCTACTAGTTGTTGGGTTGGACCATTGAAACACATGGACTCTCGTGTTAGATTGCATGGTTTTTTGTTTTACAAGGAGCTGAAAGAGAGACCTTGTTTAAGATTGTACTGTCATTTAGAAAAAAATGATAGAATTCAAAGACATTTCTGATATTACTAAACATGATGTCAGTGTCATCTTTTAACACCACTAAACAATAATATTATAAAGACTTGAAATTCAAATTCAACTAGTTTTTAAGTACCGTAGGATCTCCAAAACAAAACAAAAAAAGTGTGTCAACAAAGATTTAAACTCACATCTAGAAAATAGGTGTTGTTACCATATCTTTATGTATCAGTTTGTATTTTCTTAGTATTATTGGAGGGAAAGCATGTGGGAACACAGAGCCAAATGTCTCATGTGCATGTTGGGACATCATGTGAAACCTCTTTACACGTTTCTAGCAAAAGTTGACAGCAATTGTCAGTGTGATCTTGTGAGGGTAGTGAAGGGGGGGGGGGCAATGCTTCTAAGTTTGAATTGTTGGGACTCTTGCCCAAACACAGATCAAAAACAATAATATTCAATTTCTCCTATTCGTTGCATGATTAAGCATCTGAATATTACTAAGGCCACAGGGAAGGGGACATATTTTTGGTTAGTTTCTGTCTCTGTGTATAATGTTATCAATAATTTGTTGATTGTTTTGCATTCATTTATCTTCTTGCGAGAAAGATTCAGCGTATTTTAAATGATAATTCCCTGTGTCTTCCTCTGTCCAGTCTTTTGTTGATTTATGCACCGTGTCTCATCCTGATGTGAAAAGAGAATCACCTTTTTTTATGTTTTTTAATTATAAAAAGTATAATTTATTGCTTATAGATGTAGTTATGTAATGTAATTAAGTGCATATTAAGATATGGTCCCCACATATTAAATCAAGTATTAAATAAATGGATCTTTAGATTCTATTTGGAAGAGCATGATGAATGCCACTTTGAATGTAATACTCAGATTGTCTAAATAATTAACAAACTTTGGATTAATGGTAAAATTCTTCTATAACTATATTTACTTTCAACTTTAGGGGTGAAAATGAATTAATTAAGTTCATAATTTAAATTTAATTACATATATTTAATTTAAAATGCATCTTGATTTAGTAAAAGTAGAAAGATAAGAAATATGAAAAATGAAATAAGTAATGTAATAAAAAATAGAAACAAATGAGTATTTAAAAATATTATGAATAATATTCATTTAAATTCAATAAAAAAAAATATCAAAGGAAGAAAAATATTAATAAAATTTGAAATTGGGTTGAAATATGAATCAAAGGATGAAGTATTTTGATGACAATAGTTATTGAAGTCTGCTGAGAAGTAAATGAAGATTTGCTTTCATCTCTGTCGGCCCCTAACCAAAGCATCTTCATCGTATCAAAACATTCTACTTACATCTATGGAGCGTGTATGCAACGCTCCTCCTTCATTTAGATACTTAATTATAAATTATTTTAATATATATATATATATATATATATATATATATATATATATATATATATATAAAATCATGTCAAACAGTTTAAAATTAATTATATAAAAAATAATTTTACTCAATTTTAATGTTGTGTAAGTAAGCTTCTTTATATTAAATTGTTGGATAAGAATAAAAATGATATGATTATTTTTACATTCAAAAGAGAAAAAATATGTAAATTTTTGTAGTTTTTTATTATAATAATCATTTAAAATAAATTAAAAAAAAATATAATTACTTTTATTAATTATAAATTATTTGTTTTATTTTTATTTGTTTTTATTTTTTAATCTAATTTAAATTTTTTTCCTCTTTTTTTCATTTTTTATTCTATTGATTTTTATCTCTAATTAAAACGAATCATAATTAACCAATAATCTTAACTCAATAATATAAGTATATTTTTAATAAATTAATTAATTTAGTTTTCCATTTGCTTTTGTGAAGTTAATTTTCGTAATTTTACTTAAATAAAGGTATATTCCTTTGCAAATACAATCAAATGTTTATTTTTGACCAATATTTCTTGATCAATGATTTGAAATTAACTTATCTACCATAAAATAAAGTATTCCTTGTGATTTTTCACTATAGAAAATTAATTTATAGTTAAAATTTATGTTTAAAATTTTAATTTAAATACAATTTTGACAATAATGAATTCATTCCACTTTTTTTCATTTTTCTTTCAGCTCCCATTGTTTTTTTTTATAAAATTGTATACCTTAAAATACAAAATGCAATTTAAAGAGATAACTATGTTTAAATTTCATAAATATAGAGTTACTTCCTTTCTACACAAGGTCTTGGAAACTGATGTTTGCTCAGAAAATGTATAGTGGAGACTGTCATACATAAATAAGATTGAGAAATCATTATTAATTAGTGATATAAAAATAATAATAAGATAGATAAAAATAATAATAATTTTTATTATTATAAATTATGTATGTAAGATATTAAATTTTATAATAAAATTATGCTTTAAATATTTTTAATGATATATAGTACATAATAACCTATGAAATGAATCACTCTCAAAAATAGTAAATAAGATTACGTGACAACAGTGTTTAATAAATTAATCCTTAATTGTAGATCTAAGCATCAAAAGATAAAGTACAAAATAGTGCATATAATTGTAAAAGACATTAAAAGTAGAAATTTTAGAAAAGATCAACACTTTAACTTATAGTAAGAGAAAGAGACGAAAAATTATATAATTGGTTATATATTTCATATTATTATGATTTATTATTATTATAATAAATAATTAAAAATAACATTAATATAATATATAAAATTATTTAATAATAAAAACATTATATTCTTTAATAACATTTATATATATATATATAAGCCATCTTAATAAAGTGTATAAAAAATCTTCATTTCATACAGTATAACTTTTAAGAAGGGTGAAACTCATATTCATAACATAACATGAAAATTTTGGTGAAGATCTTTAGGCATTAATGTATTGCTTGGTAATATATGCATATCTAAGCAAAGATTTAAAGTGAACACCAATTTGTATATTGAGACTTTTCAATTAAGATATGTTTTTCAGCCATAGTCTTTTCTTTTTTAGTCTTATGCATATTTTTGGTATATTAAAGTATATACATTGTTAAGTCATTAGAATGAAGATCATTTATAAATGTTTATTAGTAAAAGAATGGATGAAAAGGAATTAGGATGTGAAGAAACAAAAGGAATATAGTTAAAGGAAGTTGAAAGAGAATCACTCTTTGAAATGGGCAAAGAGGACAATAGAATCTAAACAGTGGATGGAGCCAAATTGAAAGGTATGATTAGATAAATAAGTGATTGATTTCTTTTAGCGAGGGTCATGTCCATGAGAAGAAAATAAGTGGGAATTGAATGGAATGCGCGTGAGTAATAGTAATAGGAGTGGGTTGGTGGATGGTTGGGGGTTGAAAAAAGAAATACAAATAAACAAAGAGGCAATTGGGTCGGCCAAAAGCCAAACATTGATTCCGACATCTTACCCTTTCTTCCCAACACCTTGTCCCATACCCGCCAGCCCTGGACTCCCTAACCTTCTCTCTTGTCTCTCCCTTACAAATTAAAACCTCCATCCCTGGCTCTTACTCTGTCTCTCATCATCTCCACACACATATATATTCCTATTCTTCATACTACCCACTTAACATTGCATGCAATGGAGCTTCAACTTGGTCTCACTCTCTCAAACAATTCCTCTAAGGTATTTGACCTCAACTCTCGTGCCCGCGACTCTATCATCCCTTTCAAACAAAATTCCAGTGTTTCCCACAAGAAACGTACCTTCTCCCAACTCCATAAGGATGAAATCCTTCCTACTCTGTCCCTCCTACCTTCAACACCAGATCATCATGAAAATGATCCTCATCACCACATTCAATGCTCAAACATCATCAAGTTTGTACTCAACTCTCTTTTATACTCTTCTTCATTACATCATGTTATTAGATGATGTGATCACTATAAATTGAAAACTCTTGTGTTTGACTTTTATCTTTGTTTAATCAGGAACAATGAAGAGGATGTAGTGGGTTGGCCACCAGTGAACTATTGGAGGAAAAAACTTTGTGTCGATGGCTGCGGAGACAACAACGAGGTTGTAGGAAATAACGATCACATGGTATGGGCTGATCACTGTAATGACCATGGTGCTTCTGTCATAAGAGGATCCAATTCTTTATACGTGAAGGTGAAGATGGAGGGCGTGGGAATCGCACGGAAGGTCGATCTCTGCATGCACCAATCATTTCATACTCTCATGAAAACCTTAATGGATATGTTTGGAAAATGTAAGTGTAATGTATATATATATATGTCTTGGTTCATTCATTCATCGATTTCTTAGCTTTCTTGATTCATTTCGCTAATTAATTATGTTGAAACAGGTAATCAAGAATCAAACTGCTATGAACTGGCTTATCAGGACAATGAAGGTGACTGGCTTCTCGCACAAGATGTACCGTGGAGGTAAGTTCATCCTAACTAACTCATTTGTTCCACTTAATAAGGATTTTTTTCATCCTTTGGAAGTCAGATTAATGTTTCTGATTGAAAAGAAATAATAAAACCATTATCAAAACAGTGACATTAGTAGTTAACCATATATATATATAAATATTCCAGATAGTGTGACTGACAAGTATTTTTCAAATTTGTTTTGCAGAAATTTCATTGGATGTGCACAGCGACTGAGATTGCTGAAGACCAGCACATGAATAATGGCGACAAAATACGGAATCTGTCAAACTTGTCTGTCCAACCTTAATTGGAAAGATAGATGTCGATTAGTTTTTTCCCTTTAACTGTATCTAATTCAGCTTAAATGTCGATTAGTTTTTTCGCTTTTGGTTAACTGTATCTAATTCAGCTTAATTTGCGTGTAAGCATAGCAACTTCCCAGTATGTACTTTGTGTGTGAAACACATTATTAATGTTTTTTTCACAATAGTTACTTTATGACATGCATGCACACATTTTTTATATATTCTTTTACTTCCCGGAAAAGGTTATATTTTATTTGTTTATTAAATTTAAATTTTAAAAACTATACTACACATATTTTTAAGGTAGTCTTATTATGCTTAATTTTTTTTAGTATTTTGTTCTTCTTATAACCTTATTAATTTGAGTGTTTGGCATGGTGGAGCTGTTGGCATTTGGCATACAAGAGGTTTAATTCGGCATAATCAAACATCTCAACCTTAAAAATAGATAAATATTAGTTGATAGTGATTTTATTACAATTACATTAGTGTGTTTCTTATTTTATATGTATAAAATGGTAATTTATCTATTTATTTGAAACATTGATTTAATGATTTTTTGTAATGTAACCATAAATGTTGTATTGGATCACTTGAAAAGTATGTCGAAAATAATTAATTCATTTTCTTATATTTATTTTCTTTTAATTTAATGTTAAGGATGCTTTAAATAAAAAAGAAAATAAAATATGAATCGGTGGACAAAAGTTACTACAAGTTATCACTTAATAACTTCTCTCTTATCATGCTACAACTTTTTCATGAAGATAGGGTTTTGAAAATTATTTCCAAAATAGTCGTCTTCCATTTTTTTCTCACTTTTTTTAAACCTATTTCTTAAAACAATTGGACATTATTAAATTATCAATTTCTCATAAAAAATACATTAAATTGCAAAATCATTTTTAAAAATCTTAAACAATTGGTAATGTTTGTTTTATATCCTTCTTCTATTTTTTTTGTCAATTCCACACTCTACCTGTGTCTTGCACCACTTTGCTAATTATATAAACAATCTTATTTAGATGTATTTTAAAAATTAAAAATATTTTTTGAAACTAAAAATCAAACTAAGTTTAATAACATTTTAAAGTTGTTTTCTTTTTTACATTAAATTTTTATTATTTATTACATTTTTTTCACTTTCTCATCTATTTCCTCCCCTTTTGTTTTTTTTTTTAAATTGTTTTATATAATAACTTTTAAAAAGTTCCAAAAATAATAACGAAATTAAACACTTTAATATATCTGTTTGACTATAGTCGTGTTTATCTCTGTTCAATATGTTGTTTCTTACTCAAATCTTTCATTAATGCAACTATGGATTTCAAACTTCAACCCTTTAACATGAATGCAACTATTAAATAATTTGCACTAGTATTTCATTAAGGTCAAAGGATCATAGTAGAAATATATCCACCCTTAAAAATGATTTCATGAAAAGAATAGCCCAAAAGTGTGAGAAATGACCCAACATTCACGCTTATGTAAGAAATTCTTTATTACTCCAGTTGTTGATTTTTATATTACCCAATATCAACAAATGCAATGTTCTATTATTGAGATGGAGAAATAGGAGAAAAATAATAAGATGAATAAATAAATGTTAAATAATTATAAGGTTAAACAAACTTTTTTTAACAATCTTATTATTATTATTGAATTAAATAATTATATATATATATATAGAGAGAGAGATAGAGAGAGAGAGAGAGAGAAAAATACTTGGATATACATTTTTGTTAATGTTTTATCATATTATTTTTATAGTTTTGTAAAACACAATAAAAACAAAAGTTAATTTAAAACATCTTATATATGAATAATGTAAAAAATTTTCATTCATGTCACACTCATACCTACAAGAGAGATAATATATATATATATATATATATATATATATATATATATATATATATATATATATATAATAGATTAGGCGATTTAATAAAAAAAATTATGAAGTATAAACATATGAAAATCTATAGAATATTTTTTATTATCGCGTTGTGTGAAAATCTATTCATGATTATAATTTGATTCATATAATAATCAATATAAGTTTAAGAATCTTTCTTTATTTTTTTATTACTCAATACTCTACTTAATTTATATGATTTAGGTAATGGATATGTTTCATGACTCAATATTAATAATATATTGACTAATATAATTATTATACTTAATCTCTTTTTATTTAATTATTTTTATTTATAATAAATATATATTTTTAATTTATTAAAATATTTTTTAAAAACAAAATAATAATGAATTAAACTTTAAAACGTACCATAATTCAACATAAAATTTGATTTTAATGATATTATGACATCATAATATTTATTCCTCTACCACACTTTAAAAAAATCTTTAAAGTCTATTTAAACATAAAATTATATTATATTATATTATTTATATGTTTTTTATTTTTTTCACTTAAATATGTTGTTTACTTGACCTATATCTCACCATTTAAGATATATGATTTACATATTTTAATTTAAAATATTATATTTAACCCTTTCTTACTCAAATAAGAAATGTATATAATACAACTTTAAATCTTTAATATCCTCACCAAATTATCAACTCCAAACCTAAAGTCTCTAATCACGTGATTCAAATCAACTCAAAATTAGAATTATGACTCAAATATGCTAATTAACCCGTATCCTAAACTCTACAACTATAATGCCTCAATTCAAAAGTTGTTTTATTCACAATTCAATTTAAAAAAAAATCTTTAATTCTTACTTTAAAAGTCTAGAATAGAATACCGCAAGAATACATTGATCTCAACAGTTCCACCAACCATGTAATGAATCAATCATTTATTAGTAACCTGCATATGTTTGATCTTAACAATTCTTAACCTCTCAAAGATCAAAATACATACAATCAATCAAATTTCAAGTTACTCGGAAAAGAAAGTTTAACAAACTCACCCCTTAAATCGTTACATGCAACAATTATTCTCTCCTTTTCAAACTTCATTCAATTTTAGAAGATCAAGATAATTTTCCTACTTAGAAATGAATAAAGCAAGGAGTAAATGCTCAAACTTAGAAATGAAACATACTTAATCAAGACTAGAAAGGATAAGAGAATTTTGAACTCCAAGGAAAAGAGAAAACTTATTCAAGCATAAATCTCTCACTTGATGATATGTGTTTTCTCTAACATTTAATAAATACACAAATATGATTTTGTAAGATTATAACTATTGAGTTGACAATGAAATCATTCTGATTAATATATATATGGGTATGTGTTTCTGGTGAAATTTCGATCGATTTCGATTCTAAACAGTGTTATAGTCCTAATCGAAATCCTCCCACGTAAGTTCTTTTTACTTAGGCTAGCAGTCTGACTTTCAATTGAAAACGTGTATGAGAATCGAAAGTTATAGCCTATAAAAATGCTATTTTTTAGTATTTTATATTTAGACTACCGAAAGCAGTAAAGTATCGAATCGAGAAACAGAAAATTAAATTGCGAGGAAATATAAAGTGCGAAAACCCCAAACTTGCATTAATTGTAAATAACAAGAAATCGAAATCGCAGGAAAAGTAAATGACAGGGAAACTTAAATGCAGAAACTTAAACTTTCATTGAATTGAAATGACTAAGAATCGAGAATACAAAAACATAAAATTGCTGAAACATAAATTACCAAGGAAAATACAGAAAGCGGTAAATGTACTCAGTGAGCAAGGAAATCCAGATTGCCAGAAGCTTCATGGTGTTCGTCGCTTCTCCGGTAGACTTTTCACTGCTGATTCTGTTCTCTGCCAATTTCTGCTCCTCGTTCCTTCCTCCTTTGCACTATTTATAGGGCATCATTCAAACCTTCCAGGAGCAGTTAACAAAAACTGCTACCACGTTCTTCGTGCGCGTTGCATTTTCTTCTTCTGTGGTGTCAAAACTGCACCCACGTTCCCATGATCTTCAACTTCTGCCACGATTTAGAAATTGTTTCCTATATGCGTGTTTAACTCCTCTTTATGATCTGGCCACGATTTCGATTTTACGCCGGTTAACCTTTCTTTTGATTTAGACTTCGATTTTATCGAGAACTTCGGATTTACTTTTGATTCCTTTTTACCTTAGCATCATATACTTCTAATTTCTTGGTTTGTTCCACAATAAACTTTTGACTATTATTTCTCCGATTCCAACTCTAACTTTCGATTTTATGTACCATGCCATTCTAATTGGACATCGAATGATTCCTCATCTACCTTTTCGTTTTACCGATCAGTCACATGTTTCTCGATTTTTCTTTCCTTCATTTTTTCGATCGCTTTTCTCGATTTCCTACTAACAAAATGCCCCCTTGGAAGAATATCAATAGTTTCTGTTTATATTCTTTCAACGTGATTCCCGCCTTTGCTTGTTAGAGGCCCACAAAACTTAGGGTTTAGGGTTTTTGGGGTTCTAGGGTTTACAGGGTTTTCAATTTTCCTTTTGCTTTATGTCGTCATCGCGTCAGTCTGCTGTCTTACTGTACACGTTACATTAATTACCTTTCACCTCCGCCGTTTCCAGCTCCCTAGGCTATTTTCCCTTTAAACTTTCTATTGGTTTTTTACTCTGGTTTTTTACGCGAACTTTTACCTCTTTGCAACTTCGTCTTCCTTGAGCTCTTGTCTTCATCTCTGCGCCTTCATCTCTCCCGTTGCTTTTCTTCACCCTACCCATTACTGAAATGGCCACTTCATCCAAATCTTCTGACTTTTCTGTTCCACCTCTTCCCTCGTTGACGACTCCCCTTCTGGAGATCAATAACCAGAAGTTTGCTCCAATTCCTCTGATGGAGGAGGCTTCTCAGAAAATCGCTGAGACGCAGGTACTCATTCCTTACACTGCTGATAGTGTTAATTTTGGTTTTGGGGGTCTTGTCCGTTCTAGTAGTGGGACTTTTTCTTCCTTCACCCTCTCGAACAGCCCAG